TATGTTGTTTGTACCTGGCATAAACTGAGTTGCCATTGAAGATGCGTTGTGGAGATGCAGTTCTAAAACAGTGGATGACAGCAATGAGACCCTGATCTTGGGTTTCTATAACTGCAGAAGAGACATCTTGTTCTTGTGTCAGTTAATTCCTGAGTCCATAGGATTTACTCCAGTTTCCCCACTTGGATATTTTCTGACGAGATCAACTTTCAAATCGGGGTTGCGTGAGAGCTTGTTTGTCTCCTGATGGAAACTTTTGGACAGCTTTAGAGAGAGCTACTCAGCATGCTTAACTTTGCTCCTACTTTGGTCCATTACATTGCTGTATGCTATATTCTGTTGTATTATATTTGGGCCCTATATTGATGTCTGCAGATGTGCAAGGACATTGGGCACTCAGTTAAAATCTGTACCATTGCTCCACTGTTTCTCACCCCTTCTTTTGCTTTTAATGAAGTCATAAAGTATGAAAATATGGGCTACACGTGCAACACTTTACAAAATGCACCAAAAACTTGACTGACATCCAGTCTGAACAGCTGTTTGACCTACTGACCTGCCTTACAAAGCCCTGTGGAGTTTCAGCCTTGGCTACCTTGAATTCAACTTTCCAGAATTCCTTTGTCTTAATATTTGTGATCAGCTGGCTTTCTTCTGCTAAAAACTGGGATTTAAATCCTGAAGTGGCAGACACTTAAGATAAAAAAAAAAAAAAAAAAAAAGGAAAGAGTAAATTCTTCTCTTTGGAGTAGTCTTATTTATTTATTTATTTATTTATTTATTTATTTATTTTGGAGGAATAATTATTATTCCTTCCTTAAATCTCAACAAATCACATACTGATGGTCAAAACTTTATCCACTTCATGAGAGGTGGGTTTCTCGTGCTAACCTCCTTATGAGTTTGTCTGTATCTCATATTAATGCTCAATTGTATGTGAATTATTAAATTCCATGTAAAGACTGCAATAGGTTTTGAAATACAAATACCTTTACACTAGGACATAATGAGCTTTAGCAATGATATGGTTTGATTTCTCTTTATGTTTTGTCACCTCATGTTGGGGTACAGGTTTCAACAAAAGGAAAGATAAATGGGGGAATAAAAAGTAAATAAGCATGTGAGAAAATATAAATGTGAAATTATTATTTTTTTTCTAGTTAGTCATTTAGTCATTAAATCATTTATCTTATCTGTGTTTTTAGATAAAACAACTCCCCTCATTTTTTCACTGTAAGAAGGAAAGACTTTTCTTTCAAAGCTGTATATTTTCTTCATAAATTATATTGCATTTTGTTTTTTAAGATTTCTGGTTTTGGGCAGGAAGCTTATTTTATTCCATTTTATTTTATTTACTTTATTGTTGTATTTTATTTAATGAAAACATTGTATTCTCTGAGACTCTCCATGGAAAAGAAGTACAAACTAGGACTAATGATAACTTAAGATGAGAAATTTTCTACAAAGTTCATAATAAAACTCTTGCACTGGCTGATAGGATTTAAGTTTGTCATCTTGGTGTGCTAAAGCCACTTAAGCGCAACGGTTATCTTGCGTACATTTAGACTTTCTTCAATTCTCATCCCCAAAAAATGAGTGTACTTTTCGATGTTAAGGAACGAACAATAACAGGTCTCCTCCAGAAAGACAAGGTGTTTACTGGTGTTTTAAAGGACTTCCACATTCATATGCTCCTTCAGAGCTATGTGAGTTTGCTGAGGAGTTTCTGGTTGTGCTGGTGTGCCCAAAAAGCTCCACCACTCCTCATGGGGTAGTAACTCAGTCGTGGTCTACCAATGATGCACATACAGGAGTTGTATCCAAATCTTTTGGTGCGCTTTGAATCTTTCAAATCATTTCAATGTTTTAAACAGGGGAGGAGGATTATAACCTCGTTGGGCTTGATAATGATTGCAAAAGGCATGAGAAGCTATTTAGCTGCCAACAGAAACAGGATGTGTTGCAGCACTTGAGGAAAGCACAAGAGATCAGCTAGGAAGACAAATACACACCATTGCTTCCCCGTGTCAGAAAAAGTGTGTGCTGAAAGTTGTGTCATCAAGTGAATTGATTTAAACTGAGACAATTTAAATTACGGGTGTTTCAAATCCTTGTATTAGCCTCAGACTCTTTAACTGGTATAAATTATAGCTCTGCTGCAATGGGAAATCCAGAGCGTAGGGTAGCTTTTCTCCAGGCATTTACTGCTCATTAATTCATTCTACCATGGGTGTTTTGTTGCCAATATGGCACATGGCATGAGAGGGAAAACTCGAGTAACAATTACAAATAATTTATTGAAAGAAGATCATAAAAGTAAGATTAACTATGCAGGCTGCAATTACCGTGAGCTATAAACTGCCATGAAATAGTTGATAATATTAATTTTATTTTACATTTATTAAAATTTGTTATCACTGAAAAGTCTGTTTTTTTTTTTTTTTTTTTTTTTTTTTTTGCTATTTACTTTTCTTCCATAAAACTTGAAAGATATATGCATAGGAATTAGGTTAAAAAATTGAGGTACTTTACATCAGAATACACTGATCCAAATATAAAAGGATATAAACAGCAGGCGACTAGTTCATTAGAAAAACAGAGAGAGAGAATCTCTCCTTAGAAGGAGAGAGATAGAGACTTAAAATTGTTCAAAATATTGGGACAGACACAGCATGGTGGAATTTAGAGGGAAAATGTTTCATGAAATACAGCTTATGACATAAAGTCCAGGTCTTCTGAAAAAACATGGAAATTGTTCTTGTAAAAGAGAAAGTTCATTTTTCAGTTTTCTGTAAACAGTTCTGCCACATTACCTTCTCCTTTAGAGAAATGCTCACTGCTTTGTTTCCAGATTTTACTGCAATGAAGACAATGAAGACAACCCCTCAGAAAAGGAATAACTCACTTTTTTAAGTTTCAGAAAGCAAGTGTCTAATGTAGTCAGAATCTACATATGCAGGAGTAGCAAATTGTCATTTTTAATGATTTATTTCTGTGTGCAGATTTTTGGCAAAGGCTGTAGTGTTTAAAAAACAAGAATCACAGTAAATCCTGGGTGCTACGGGTACTGATGGCTGCAGAAAAGCATTGTAACAATCCTTTGCAACCAGGAACAGTTTTTTTTTTTTTTTTTTTTTTGTAAATTTTATTTCAGCTTCCAGGGCTAGTTGGTTATACTACCCATCTTGGACAAAATTATTTCTCAGGCTCATGGGAGGATATCTCCTAGCAGTTATTTCTTGCCGTGATCTTTTTGTGTAGTATAGCAGGCTTTTTCCTCTTGCTCATTGCAAACATAAAGTAAAAAAAGGGGCTGGTGCAGCCAAGTACTGCACTGGTGAGACTTGAGTACCATGTGCATACTTTGTGTACTGTGAAGGGTGGAAGGAACATAAATTATTCAGTGCTTCCGACCATTTAATGAAAAATCAAACAGGACTCCTAAGAACTCTGTTTCTGGTGAACTTTGAACATTAAGTGGGAATCTTTGATGGAAGAAGCAGCAACTGTCCCAGCTTTCATGCTTCGTCCTTGCTAATCATCAGCATAACGATTTTGCTTTAGTTTTAAAAAGCTGTTCTCTTGATGTTTCTCTAGAAATGTGAATGCTGGCCTTTGTTTAGAGCTGTCAGTGTAGTGAACATTGCCTGGGTGGAAGGAAGAAGGAGAGAATTCACACCTAATATGCAGAGAGTGCAAATATTAACAACTTTCTGTGGTCTTTTGTTCTTAAACACGGGAGCCAGAAGTGTGCTCCCGTTATCTTGATGTATTGCACTGCAGTTGTGCATATATCCAGCCATAAAGGGAATGGATGTCCTTGTTGCACCTCTCGTCAGGGTGGGTCATATTGCTCAGGTAGCTCTCTGGTGTTTGGGAATAGGAGAAAATTCCATTCACAGTGCCTGGAGAGAGGACGGCTCTAAGCATAGGAGGGGCTGGTTGGCTTATGCTCTGTTTTAGCTTCATGACCTTAAATCAGAAAACTGGCTGAGTGTGCTACTCTGATAGTACCTGAGTGAGGCTGTGCCTTTCCCAGGAAGCCCTGCAGAGCATCACAGCAGGAGCAGCTGCAGATGCCCTACCCAGTGCTCCTCTCCAAAGCTGGTTTACATTCCCATGGTGACTGTCTGTGTGTGTCCCACTGTGTCCCACTGTGTGTGCTGGGGGGAGGGCCCCAAAGATGGTTTGTCCTTGGGGTGGTGTGGGGCAGAGGTGAAAGCTGGGATGTGCCAGGCAGCCTCCCTGCCTGTCCCTGGTGGAAGGATGCTGAGGGATGATAGGGGAGCCCAAGAGAACTAGTCAGCTCCACTTGGAGGGTTTATTTTTTTTTTTTTTAAATTAAACTTGTTTTAGCAAATTTGGTTAATTTGGATGAAAATATGTTTTATTTTTTCTTTGGTCCTCTGAATCTTGCCCTATTCAGAAAGAGAGCTATTGCTTGCTTTCCCTTAGACCAGTATCTCAGGAGGGTCTATAGGCTCTGGGCTTTTTCTTTTCCTGCCTCCTCTCTATGTTTCATTTTCTGGGCTAACAGGGAATTGTGCATCTTTGGAACACAGCAAAACACCTGGGAAGTGCTCCTCTAGATCTGAAACATTTATTTTCCCCTTAACTGCACTGACTTTTCATCCATTTCTGCAGCCACCTTCACAGCCTTGCTTGCTTTTATTTGCCTGCCACAGTGAAGGAGACAACTAGGAGGCCACGGTAATTCCAGCATTGTACTTGAGGTTTTTGAAAAATCCCCACTTTTAACTTGGGATTTTGTTGGCCTTCAAAGAGCAGAATAGCACTAAGAATCAGCACAACACTATGAGGAGTCTGCATGCAAATTCAAGTTTGGAGCAGAACACTTAGCTAAGCATGCCATTTTGAGTTCTTCTCTCTCTATTTATTTATTTTTTTAATTATTATTATTTTTTATTTTATGTTTGCCATTGAGGCCCCAGAGGCAGCTGGAACATCTCTCTTCTGTTGAACTTCTCCTTTCTTTCCAGCCGCTCTCTTCCGGAAGGCAGCGAGCGTGGGCTCCTGCAGCTGCTTTCGTGGAGCTGTCGGCGCCTGTCACCCGCCACTCCTGGGCTCCCTGGCTGGACCTGGCTGGACTGACTCCCTGGCCGCGATCCCAGCAGAGCGATGTCTCCAGACCCTTTCTGTCTCCGAGGCGGGAGCAGTGAACTTTGTTCCAGTTTTTCCTGGCCCTCTCCCAAACGGAGCCAGAAGTTGTCTTTTTGAATTGCTTGCAGGTGAGGGGATTGAATCGTTTCAAATGCCTTTGAAAATAAGGTTATAACCGATGGGGTTATAATGTGGCAGATGGATTTTCTTGCTGGTAGGCCTGCTATAAGAATTATTGTGGCTATTCAAAAGCTAATTTCTATTTAGTATGCTAAATTTATCCATTGTGGCCAAAGCTTAAGGTATTCTCTGGCAATTATGACATATTTTAATGCTTGTACTTTAATAGACTTGATGTTTTCAATCTCAGAGGTGAATTTTATCTGCATTTGGGAATGTGGAGTAATAGAGACCAAGGCGAGTGGAACATAACTGTGGTGACATGGTCCATGAGCTTTTGTGAAAAGAGCATCCATGTCTGTTTGTCATTACCCCATGGCACAGCACCAGCCCACTACTTGACTTTCCTGGTGAGATGGCAAATGAGAGAAAATCTGCAGGTCATGAATCAAATTGTACGAGTAGGACAGTTGATTTAGGTAGTTAATTAACCAGTTAAATAACTGACCAGATCTGATTAATTAGTAGCTAATGGTAAGGTTCTGTCAGATTAAATTGATCTCTAGTAACCCAAAGGACAATTATTAGCTTATAATCACTGTCATTATTTTTTCCCCTGCATTGTTACAACAACCCCTGTTAGAGGTAATGGGATAATTTAGGACTGTTATATAAGGCTGTCTCCTTGACACAGGACAGTGCTTCGAGCGCTGCTATAATGTGGGGCAATGCTATTCCTAATGCTTGCAAGTGAGATCCATGATTAAGTAATCATTGATTTTTCTAGGCAAATTTTTGTAACCCTATCGCTAATTTCATATTGCCTGTCAATTCATTGCCCATTGAAGTGCAAATAGTGGCACACAACAGAAAAACCCAACGGAGATATCAAAGCTGGTGACCGACATGAGGAATGGAGACAGAAGGAAGGCAAAGAGTTTCTTTTCCAGGCTGTCTTACAGCCTTGACTTGGTACTTGGTAAAACAGAAATTTTCTGAATAGTTTGTATCAATGCCATCTGAACAGGATCTGAGCTACACACATTATGGGTGTTTCTGCAATACAAATGATTTGAGTCATGTCACATATCTCAAATATTTTGCTCAGAAGCAGAAGGCATATGCCCACTTTGGATGGCATCTGAGGGATGCTTGGAAGGCATGTGTGGCAGGCTTATATCAATGTCATTGCAACCAGTGTGACAGTGTCAGGCCATGTAGATTTTGACTTCTACAAGAGTATTATTATTAATGGATTAAGATATATATATTTTCCAATGAAAAACATTGACTCCTACCACCCCCCACCTTTAACATTACCTTTCATCTTTAACAGAGATATTTCTATTTATTTCAGAAAAGATGATGCAGTCAAATGGAAACGATTGCAAGATATTTCTGATAAGTCACTTGCCGTGTTTCCACATTTGTTGCATCAGCTATTACTCATGTACCTACTTGTTAATTATTCTTGAAAGCACGGGAGTGAAGCGGTACAAATAAAGATATGCAAAGTGATGTTTATAGTTCAGTTGTTGAATCAAAACATAGCAAAACAAAAACCTCAGAAATTTGAATTGGAAATCTTATACCTGAAACCACTTTTGACATAATTATTCGATTCAGACTGAAATTAAATGAGTTGGTTTTGACACCTCTAAGAAAAGACAAATAAATGTAGGTTTACAAACTGGTAATCTAAAACCATCTCATTTGCTTTTATCCAATAGATTTGTTGTAGTTTATATTCCAGGATGTGAGAGATTAAAGTTTGTTCTCTCCTTTATAAAGCCATTAGAACTGGGAGAGGGTCCACTGTATTTTATTTTCCCTCTCTCTTTGTTTTATCCCATTTTCCAGTTTTACAGAATTGAACATCCACCACAGCAGACTGCAATCCTGGTGTACATTTTCAGTGTGAGTGCCTCAATCTGTAGGCTGGAGGGTTTTCCTCTCCTCTTCCCATATCTTATCTTGCTGCAAATGCAGAAGGTTATGGGGAGGGCTGGAAGGCCACATCCTCATCTTGTTGCTTAGGAAGTGAGACCCTGCTTCAAATTCAAAGTCTATCTGAGTCAGGGCAAGGATATGCACATTCCTGTCTTTAGTCTGGAAAGTGAGCTATGAAATGAGATGGTCTTGGACATGTGTTCTCCTGCTGTGGCTATTCCAGGTAGGAATCAGGACACCCTTCTGGCAGTATGAACTCAGGTGTTGTCTCCTACTAACCTCTCACTGGCTTATCAAGCTCTTGAGCTCAGATTTAGCCTTCATGTTGTGGAAATCTCTTCTGCAAGCCAAAGCACCATCTGTGGGTATGCTCCTGGGCTACTGTGGAGCCTGTGGAGTGGTGAGACTGCCTCATGTCACACACATGGCATGAGATGGACACAGCTTGGCAGGGGACCCTAACTGCAGTGTGGGGAGGGGAATATTTGGGGCAGGGTGTTACAATTCCCAGAGACAACCCTGGTAGGTTCGTCTATACCAATATCCAATAGGGTGATTATAGACCAACTCTGCATGAGAGGCTGTATTTATCCAGCTCCTTCTATTTTGTCTGCTCAGAAAGGATAGACTTGTCTATTGCACAGCTGTGAAGAATTGAAAGGAAACACTTATTTTACTGTAGTGCAGAGATAAACAGGTCATGCCCTTCTGAAATGTTGGTTTTGCAACAGTGAAGTACACTTGAGTAGGCATTAAAATCTTAACATTGTTTCACAGTGCAACTAATCTCACTCAGGTTGGGTTTACTTAGGAGAAATAAACTCAGTTTATCTGCATGAGAGCCAGTCTGCAGTGAACCTATTTTTACAGCTTTCCATACACAGAGAGTAATAAATTTTACACTTAACTAGAATGAGACAGAAGTCAATGCTGCTTTTGAAAATTGGATGCTGGCTCAAAGACTGCTTAGCCAGTTTCTGGAAACTAAACAAAAGTTTGAGTTAAAGTCACTGAGAAGGATCTGCTGAAAGCCATTGCAGCTCCTTTGGCACAAATCACACAGGCGGAAATGTTTCCTTGCCAATTAACTAATGCTTCTCCTTGTATAGTGGCTAATTCAGATCTGTGCAGTTTGTAAAATTACACCCCACCCCCCTAAAAACCCCAAAGCATGCTTGAAATGGAGAATTGACAGGAAAAAAGGCCACATGTCACAATAATTACTATAATTTGGTCTGTTATTTCCTTACTTTTTGGCTCGGCATTTGAAGCTTGATGTTAATTTGCTTGTATAACTAAAGGTGTTTCCTCTGCTTGTTTACACTAGCTATTATTTCTAAACATCCTTGAAATTATTTGCTATAACATCTCTCCTCATCTTTATATTACTTCAATTTGAGCCACTTTTAGAAAGTGCTTCCTTCTATTTTTGAACAGAAGCAGTTGGGAGCCAGAAAAATATGTTTTTGTTTGCATTTCTATTTTTGGTTTGAAATTGCTGGAAACCAGTAGGTGGGTTTTTATTTTCTAAGACTTTATTTTCAAAATGAAACAAATATTATGCATGAGGAATGCCACATATCTTAAATTACTTGTTTTAGTAACAGGAAAAAGTTCTTGTTAGAAATTCTTCTGAAGTGTGGCTCTATTTCCGGAAATCCTATCTTGCTCACTTCAGCAGTCTTGTACTCTCCCATTTCACTGAGTGATTGTTTTGTACATAAAGAGATGAGGAGTTCATAGAAACATTGTAGGCATTCAAAGTTAGTATGTTTTCCTTTACCTTTTGTACTACACAGATTCTTTTGTTATATTTTCATTCTACCAGCCCAAGGAAAATCACGTAGGGAGTTGACTATTGGTTGTGTATATTGAATGAAATTACATAAATGGGTAACTGGTAGTTTTGGATATCCTTGGGATATAATTCCTACCATATGTTATCGGACTGCACAATTTTTGCTCTCTAAAAAGGGAAGAGTGTAATTCATTATAGGGTAGTCAGCTATGAAATCTCATTGTGCTCAGGAGATGGGAGCAAATGAGCTGATTAGAACACTCAGAAAACACTGGGAATATCTCAGCTGAGTGGAAATAATTTCATCTCAGTGGAAATAAAAATCCTATTGATTTCTTTCACAGTAGGGGGAAAAAATGACACTTCAAGATTTACTTATTTATTCTCTATTCATTTCTAAAAAAAGCCACAGCCCAACAAACCAAACAGAAAAACCCTGAAAGCAAACAAACAAAAAGTACCTTCCCCAACTATATCTGTGACTTTCAATATGTTTATTTCATAGCAAAAAAAAGGATAGCTTTGAGTTAGTACTCCTTATCAATAGCTGCCTTCTACATCAGTAAAATCTTTTCACATAATATGGCATTACCTTTGGAAAAGATATTTTTTGAAAGGGTGAAAGAAGATGAGAGGGTGAAGCTGGCAAGTCAAATCACATTAACACTTTTTTTTTCATCTATTGTCAGGACTAATTTATGAAAATATAATGCAGAACTCAAGCAAACAACCCTTTTTCTTTTTACAGCTTTCCCTCTAAACTGAAACCATTCATGGAAGCTGATGGCAATGCTCTCGTAAGTATATCTGAAGTTATGTCACAGTTACTGACTAGTTGAAGAGATCATAGAAGACTGAGGACAGCATCAATATCCAAAGATCTTGCTCATGGGTTAGGCCAAGTGGTGAGACTGTTACAGGCTGCCCCGATTCTATTCTTGGGGTGAAATTGAATCTGTTGTATGGACCCACAGCCAGTGGTCCCCTTGCTTCCAAGAGCTACTCTTCAGAAGATGAGAAAAGAGTAATTTAGGATACATGAGCTTAGCAAAGGACTTTTCTTAGACACACATCTGTCTAATCCTTGAGGTTTTAGGAAAATACAGCTTTGTAGAAGACAAACTGATGATCATAGCCTTTGGTACCATCTCAGACTCATGAATTGTGAGTTAAACTTCAGGAGACTTGAAGTCTGGTCTTCAGCAGTAGAGCAATGCCTCTGATTTTGCTTGTAGAACAAACTTTTCCTTCCCTTTCAGAGAGCCTCATATGTCTATTTTGCCCCGCTTCTTCCTTCAGGAGCATTTGCAAGCTGCAGTACACCTGGACTCTAGACAGAAGCATCCCAAAGACAAACTCCGACTGCTTCTTGGCAGCTCTCCAGAGGGATGCTGCCCAGCTAGGTTTCATTCCCAGCAATAATTGGTTGAGGCCACCCGTTTGAAAGGGAGTCTGGAAATATATAGAGCCCCTGCTCTATGTTTTTAAATCAAACATGGGATCTCTAAGCTAATAGAAGTCTTTCACTGAAGATATCACTTCTCTTGTTCGTTTTTGCTTATTAGGGGAGCCAGCCTGGCACAGAAGTGGTTGTGAACAACGCTCAGTTGTACAGCTCTCTTTGCAGCTGGCTCCCAGTTGTATTTGCCAAGTGGAGGAGCAATGGACAGCAAGCTTGAAGTCTGTGTTTTCATGCAGCATCACTATCCCATCCTGTTCAACCCTTAGATCTCACTAAACAGATGAACAAACAAAACCTCCCCCCAAAAAAGATGAAAAGCTAGCCTGTATTGCCAGTCTCACAGAAAAATTATGACCCTTCTAAAGTTAAAAATAACTGTGATGTTTTGCATTTATTTCAGACTCTTCTGAGGATTGTTGTCCTCAGATTTTCCCTGGAGCTAGACATATTTTTTTTCCTTATTTTTATTTTTTTCTTAGTTGAACCTGTGATATTGAAATACACATCAGGAAATTTGTCTTTACAGAGGAACATTCACCATTATCAGAAGAATAGGAAAGTATGAGCCAAACTGAACATTTTGTTCAGTTTCAGGTTGTTCCAGTCAGTGACTATGTGTAGTAGTTACGATATGTTCACATCTGAAACTGCTGTTATGCCCGTGGTCAGTACCATTGGTTTTACTGGTAATAACTGCCTTCCACAGTCAGACTTTTCTGTTTGTTCTGCACTGGTGCTGTAGTCTGCTAGGACTGAAAATTAAAAGTATCTCTTAATCAGTATTCATCCAGGCTCAATGAAACGAAAGATTTCCAACTTGCATCAGCCAGTTTTCAGAGGAGGAAACTTAAATTTACTTTTTGAGGAAAGATTTACAATTGGAGATGTGTTAAAGTGTTATTTTCTTGTGGAAAAACCTGCTGGTGAGGCATTGCATGAATTTTATGGTAGATTAAAGTAAATATAGATTTTTCTATTGTTTTAAGATGAAGACAGTCTCATTGATTTTTTTTTTTTAATTAAATAATTTTATAAAATATCTGACTGCAAACACTGGTGCTGTGGGGAAAGAGATTTCTTTTGTTTCTTCAAAGATCTGCAAAATTTGGGAAACCAATTTGTTGAACAACCCTGGATTTCTTGGCATATTCCATTGATGTGTTCTGTTACTAGAAGATTTTCTTGTGAAGAGCAAACAAATTATTTTTTATGGGTTGATATTGGGCTTCTGTGCGGCACTAGAAACATTTAAAAGTTGTTGAATTCCTGTTTGAGAATTAATTCGATAGAAAGTATGTCAGCTTTCAGGAATCCTGGAAAAGAAAAACAGAAATGTAACTTAATTCATGAAATCTCACTCAGTGACAATTTTATTGTGGGTTCATCACTGGTTTTATCCAGGCAAACTAAATGTAATGCTGGCTTGGGAAACTGCCCTTCCTTCTCTGATTAGTTTCCCAACTCCTCCAATGAAACATGAAGAGATGGAGATCCATCACCCCTGTCAACCTGCAGCAGGAAACAATCATTGCTACTGAATAATAAATGCAAATTTGTGAATTCTTTTTGCTACCCCAAGCTCTTAGTGGTTAATCAGTTCCCACCTCAGTCTGTATATAGAGCAGGCCCTAACAGAGAATTTAGGTAATATGGATATTAACCCTCCCTTGACAGATGAGCCATAGGCCATAGATGTTATGCTGATCATCAATAAGGTTAGCGGAAAGATCTACTTCTTCCTCATCTGTTTACAGAGCCACATCCTGTGTCAGTGTTGCTCTTGTCATTGTACAATTTTATGTTGGGTAAAGACGACATGCCCCCACCACATTATCATGGCAAAGATGCACTATCACCCTGCTTTGCAGTTTTTGCTTGTGGGTAGCTGACTAAAATTTGCTTTCCTTAACACCACTTTGGTAGCACTGAAGGAAAATAATGAGTGTGATTGCATGACCCATTGATTCACTGTGGCTGTCTGTTATTTCCACGTGTCCTAAATAGGGTGTTACTTTCTTTGGAATGAAGATGTGAAAGGTGGCCTGTACAGGACAGGGAAATCTTGGAGCTTCAGTGTAGCTGATATGTTTTCTCATTGCTTTTCTTTGTCTGTTGTCATGGAGAATAGTCAGGGAGACTGAGAGGCCGTGGTAGAATTTTAAAAAAATAGTGTAGAGGGGGGAAGAATACATGATGATTAAGAAGGAATCTGGGATTATTCACTCCTGGTAAAGCCACCCACAAATGCGTTGCTCAGGTCATCTCAAATAAGCACCAGATAAGCCCAAGAGTTACGATATGCAGTTCTGCACTCGGATACATGCTGCAAGGATAACTGGCTAGAGAATGCTTCAGCTCTTGTAAGTACTGGTGGCAGTGGTTTCTTGTGTTATTGTTTCCAGATGGTGTAGCTTTACTCATCTTTAATTTACCTGTGAGAAGAGCCATCAAATCCTTCAAGAATAACATGAAAAGGGGTTTTGTTTTCCTCCAAAGCTGCCTGATAGGTCCAGAGACTGCATTAGTAATGTTTCTAGCGTAGCTCTGCAGCGGATCAGGTAGTTACCAGTTTTGCATAGCAACATTGTGGCCGAGCATATTAAACCATACATCACCTTATCCAGCGTTTGTCATCTGGAGGTTTCAAAACCTTCCTAAAAAATAGGTGAATGTTATTGTTCCCATGCTAGAGATGGAAAGGTTGAGGCCAAGAGAAGGAAAGTGCTTTGTACACAGCCAGCCAGTCTGGGGAGGATTTACTCTAAAACCTGGACCTTATATTTCTGATGACCTCTTTCTCAGTCCCTGGTCTTCTGTTTTACTTTCATTTTCTGTGTGTTTACGTGGGATGAATGCACACTGATAATGAAAATATAATTCAATTATGTTATTTTTGCAGAGGCTCAAAATTCTCATGTATGGCATGGCAAACTTCTGGTATATTTATATCTTAGAGTTTGGATAGTCTTCCAAGCTTGTGTGATTTATTTACCTTTCTTTAAAAAATATGAAACTCTTACTTATGTAGGGGGGAACTGTGTTCTTTTGTACTTTAAAAAAAAAAGAAAAAAAAAAGAAAAAAAAAGAAGAAAATTATTTGTTTTCATTTTCAGGGGTAGGGGTGCTTAGAATATGCTAAAGAACAATAAAACATCTGCCATGTATTTTAATCAACCTATGTTTGTAAATCTCCCTCATGGAAGCATTAAAATGTTGGATTTCTAACTTTTATTTTTTAACTTCTGAACACAGAATATGATTCAGGGAAGCAAAGTAAAAGCTGCCTGTGGGTGTGAAACAGGAAGCACTAGTAGACAGGCACATGTATAATAGTTAGATTTGCCCTGGTTCAACTCCACATACATCAATTCTAATTAACACGTTTTATGCTTCAGCTACTAACGTCCCTTCAGCAGTGAGTGGGTTATGCATTTCCATCCTGCATATACCACCAGCATCACCACCACGTCCTTCTCGAGCTTCCCCCTCCCCTTTCTAGACAAATGTTGCAACACAATCTGAAATTTCCTCTTTTCTTTCCTTCCTGCATTTCTTACAGGTTCCTTTGCGTCAGAAGACAAAAAAGAAAAGTCAAGGTAATGAGAGATTTTTTTTCTTTTCTCTTCCTCTTTTGTTATTTTCTTAGTATGTCTTGATCTTGGGAGGGTGAGGATTTTATACTACTGCTGCTCAGCTGGTGGAAGGCTGCTTTTTAACTCCACTGTTTCTTGAAGCAATTCTGAAAAAAAATGACAACGTGCTGTTCTTTTGGACTAAATCCTTGTGGTATGTTAATTGTTTCAAAGCTGGAAATCAGTGAGGTAGAATCAGATGCATGCATACACATACACTGACGGTTTTAATGTACTTGGCATAATAGTTTTCTTTAGCTGACTTAAATAGATGTATTGTCTTTCAGTGCAGCTGTGTGAAGAGAAATACATGCATGCTTCTCTTAAAAGGAATTAAAGGATATATTTTTAATTCACAAAAAAAAAGCTTGTGTATGGCTATCTAAATGATAACTAGTATCTGCATTATCTATAGCTTACTATTTTGTTTCTGCACATGAGACTGGCTTTCAAAGGCGTGTGTATTACTGTCACAGCCACTACAAAATGGAATGACTTCTAAGTATATTTTAAGATATGCTTGGATGACTTGTTAAGATCACTAAGTAAGGTTGATATCTTTAATTGACAGCAACATCTTTCCTGGTAATGTACTTTTAAACAAGCAGAACACTGTATTTTTAATGGCACAGGGTTCTTCACAATGAGCCGACGGAGGATATCGTGTAAGGAGCTGGGGCAAGCTGATTGCCAAGGATGGCTCTACAAAAAGAAGGAAAAAGGAGCTTTCATTGGCAACAAATGGAAAAAGTTCTGGTGTGTGCTGAAGGAGTCATCACTGTATTGGTACAGCAGTCAGCTGGTGAGTACAGCATCCATCCAGCCCCAGGGATGGATGAATGGCATCTGCTGGGATCGAGACTAGGGGAGATGGGGTCACAGTTTAAAAGCACCCTGGAGAAGTACTAATGACTGGCTTTATTTCTCAGCCCTGACATTTCTTGTAATTTGGAAAGTGTCTATTTGAATGTGAAACATGCAGAAAACTGTGTTTTCTAGTTCAGTAAGTACTTGTGAAATGTTAACTTGCAGAGCTCCTCTTCACAGGCTCTGCTGGCATTTGAATCTGGTAAAGGTTTTCCTGGGTCAGGCAGTTTGCTATCAAGGCTTGAAGCAATACTGCTTCCTTGCTTCTAATTTGCTTAATTTTTAGAAGTCTCTCTTCTGCTTCTCTCTTCATTCCCTTCCACACTAAGATTCATCTGTTTATTTGTTTGATTTTGTTTGTCTCTCTTCCATCTTCCCCCCCCACACTTTTTTTTTCTTTTTTTTTTTTTTTTTCCCCTGTTTGAACTGGTAGGATTGCAGGTATGTGCACTGGCAGTTCATGATGATTTTATTCCTCGTTTGGCTGATGTCTCATCCATACCATTATGATTAAAGTCTCTCACGTTCTGCTGATTTTTAACTTCCTGCTTTGATGAGTCAATGCTGAAAGTCAAATTTGCAAGAGGAGACAGTGTTTTGAATTCAAGGTCCAGCTTTCTGTTCAGGGGATGAGCGTTCCTCAGGACAGCTGGCATAGATAGCATTCCTCTTTCTGACAATCCAACCCAACTACTCCACTTACAGTGTGAGTGGGAAATTGTCTGAGACAAAGAACAGCAGGTCCTGGATTTATGTAATCAGTCAAAGAAGCTAAGAAGTAAAAACTGAAGAAGGGGGGAAAGAATCATAGTGAGAAATTCAGAGTAACCCTGGAATCCCCTCTGCAGATCACTGTGCTCTGCATCTGGCAGCTTCACTCTGCAGATGTGCTACCTGGGTTTTTAATGGAAGGTTATGGCTGAGTGCAAAGAGCCAATGGTTCCTAGGGAACAGCTGATTTTTATTACAGTCTGTCGCTACAGCAGAGATGGTGTTTTGTGCATCCTAGGAAGATTCTAACATAGTTATTCCCTTTACTCACTTGCACTGCTATTTCTAAAAAAGCTTCCGTTGTATTATAATGATGCTGGCAAAGCCCAGAACTGGCACATGCAGAGCATTAGGGGATGCTAACAACATCAGCTGAAACTGAACAGATTCAGTGTGGGATTGCAAATGGTCATCAGGATTCCTAAATGCAAACGTGTTGCTCCGGAAATCAGGATGTCTCAAGCCCAGCAAAGGATGATAATTTAAAAAAAAAACAAAACTGTCTTAATTATTAGAGCATTTGAACAAATTAAATACAATTTGGATTTTTTTTCACAGAATTATTTTTATTGCAATAATCCTTGTTAAAGCTCTTGCTGTCTCCTTCAAGTTACAAATAAAATTAAAAAATATACAAATATTAAAAAATATATATATTAAAAAAATAAATTAAATTTGCCTATGGGGCAATGAACTCTGTCAGTGATTGTAGTGACAGAACAAAGAGTAATGGTTTTAAATTAAAAGAGAGTAGATGTGAGTAGATTTAGGTTAGATATAAGGAGGAAATTCTTTACCTTGAGGGAAGTGAGGCACTGGAACAACTTGTCCAGAGAAGCTGTGGATGCCCCATCCCTGGAAATATTCAAGACCAGTTTTAAATGGGGCTTTGAGCAATCTGGTCTACTGGTCTCTGCGCATGGCGGGGGGGTTGTAATTGGGTGGTCTTTAAGGTCCCTTACAACTCAAACTGTTCTATGATTCTATGAAACAAATCTTTATTCTGATGAGGAGTGTATTTCCCATTTTCTCTTCAGCTACGATTTTAACATGATAAAAACTTTAACAGACCTTTCTTAAATGACATTTTAAAATGATGTTAGATATTCTTTTTTAGGCAAAAGTGAAAACAACTGTGCTGGTCATGGGTTGTTATTTTTTTTTTTGTGTGGTTGTGGTAGTCTGATTTAGCTTCCTTTCAAAACCAAGTTAAATACACACATAAAAAGTAAGAAAAGAAATAAGAAGAGTAGAAAAATAGGAGGAAAAAAAAAGAGTGTTTTTTCAATGCTTGCCATAATTTTGCTTAAAAGACTTGGTTTGGTAGATACTTCTCAGTGGCGTTAATATCCTGCAAATCCATTGACCGTTCTAAACCACTGCTTGTAGTCGTTCCTCTGGCTGAGCATTATTAAGAAAAGTGTGCTGGACAGCTAGCAGGCATTTTAGACATGAGAATTGTTGGAAAGAAATTATTCTGAGGAGTAATCAACCTGAGAAGAAACAAAATGAGGCAAGATAAGGGAAATTTTGTGTTCTGGAGAATGTGTGTTGGGGGGTGGGGGTGGCGGTGGGGAGAGAGAGAAGGTGCAAAGTTGTCTGCTTCCTTTACTTCAGTGGTCTGGCTAAATTCCTCTCTCAGGATTCAGAGAAACCATGGTCATACAGATGCCAAAGCTCCTATACAGCATTTGCCATATGAATGAGCTTGTCATTTTAGTCCATGCTTCCTTTCCTATTGTCACTGACTGCCCCAAAATAAACAGGGTTGAAGAACAGGTGGCAGCCTCATTCAGATTCGTTTTATATACTCTGAAGAGTTCATGCAGCTTCAAAATACTTCTGACTTATATCAGTCCTGACTTCTCACCTATCACAGTACTTCTTGTAAACATGCTAGCTGGTAGCACCTCTTCGCTTTCAACTTCTGCTGACTCCTCTACACTATTTTATGTTAAAAATTTGAAGTTTCTTTGGACAACTTAGAGTACAACTTCTGCATAAATTTAGATTCAGGTGACATTTTCAGAATCACAGTAACGATAGGGTGTTAAAAGGAGGGGAGGTGTCCTTTGTTAAAATACGCTTGCTTAAAATGATGAGACCAGAAACATGCTTAGTACCACCCCTGGAGTTACATCTGAGATGAATTTGACCCATTGTATTTTCACAGATATCTTCACCTTGCTATTTATGAAGAAAAAATATCAGTAACATATTCACTGGCTTACTTGATATTTCTTTTTACTTCTGTACGTGGCCTGGCTTTAATACTTCCATCTTCAGTGAAGTTAATGGTCACAACAGGGCATCCAACGTGACAATTGAGTTTGTGTGTGTTACAGGAGACGGAGTCTTGCCTCTCCCACACTTGAGATGTCTCATGATGGGCCTCTTAGAGGCTGAAGTGAAAGGCGGTGATGGAGGACAGGGGCCGAGGTCAAATGAACTGGGTTATGCTGACTGCTTGTAGCTCTGCCTGACTGGTTACGTTCTTGTGAGAAAAAAGTATGTTTTGTTAGTGGCTGTGTAGAAAATGCAGTCAGACAGACGTTGGCAACTGTAACATAGCAACAGGGTGCTGGACCTAACCTTTTTTTTTTTCTAGCGGAGCTGGAGAAAATAGGGAGTGGGTGGAATTTGTAACCGAATGCGCATTATCCCAGATTTGGGGACGTAACCTCAGCTGACATCATGTTCTTGGTGAAGTCTGTCTTGAGGCTGCCTCTAAAGCTCTCTAAATTTCTGTTGCTCAGGTTTAATTTGCCTTCAGGTCACTCCAGTTCTGGGTCTTTCACACCAGGCAGATTGGAGGAGGCAATGTAGGTCGCTCTGGCTGACATTTGCAGACAATTGTTCCTTCAGTTTAATGTAAAATACCTTGTGAAAGTAACAGCTCAAAAGTAAAAATAATAAAATACTGAGAATGGCCAGCAATCAGACACTTTAGCAGTCAAGCTTCTCACCTATTGAAAGCAAGCATGAGCAGATAATCAAATCCAAATTAGCTTTTTGACTGGCTAGGTGAAGTACTGAGAGACATAAGTTAGGGCACCTGTGTTTTCAGCATCTCAACACATTTAGACAGCCTGCTCTGAAACATCTTCCCATACATACATGCTCTTTTTTTGACACATGGATATCATATTTGGCAGGGAAACTTATTTGTAACAGGGGCATTCCCCCCAGTATGGGGAGGGAAAGCTGTTTGGAGTAGGGGAAAAAAAAAAAAAAAAAAAGAAAAAAGGTTGGTTTTGCAATGGAAATAGAGAAAATTTCAGAAAATGCATTTGAGCAGTCAGACTTTTTGAGTGCATTTGGGACACCAAACTCTTTGGAGAGTTGCTCTCTCATAATGTTTGCTTCCCTGTTTTCACTACTGTTGTCCTTAGTCATGTGTCTTAAAAATACGTTGAAGAGGACAGTGTGTAACCCTGCCAGACCCTTTACTGGTTTTAGTTCTTTCCTGCCCCCTCATACTGAAACCTTTGAGGGAATCAGTACTTCCGCATAAGAAGAGGGGTTCAGGGGGAAGATCAGCATGTGTAATCCTGGGCTTCTGGCTCATCTTGCGCTTGTTGCAGCTGTGTGAATAATGTCATCTGGAAAGGGACAGAGGGCTAAAAGCCTCTGTCATGTTAGGCCTTTTGGGATAGCTTGGTTGGTTTTCAAAGTAATGTTGAAATACAGTTTTACAGGATGTGTTAATGATGGTTGTCATGGGGATTCAGCTGAAAAGAAATATAAGTATAAAATCAAAGGGTTTCAGGCTGTGATCTACTGTCACTATTTGTCTTTGTATTTTTTTTTCCTCTGCATTCACTGCATTTAAATTGGTCCTCACTCCAAGAGCTTTGCTAGGAACTGTATAATTGCAGTCTTTTAAAACAGGAATCTTTCACCTTTGAGTTATAGTAACTGCTTGCGTTCATGACACGAAGTCATTGATGTTGGTTGATTGTGTCAAGGGTTTCAGAGACCTATGATCTAATATGCTACACAAATTATTCACAGCTCTAGAGGTCACCCCACTGGTGTACTTGGCAGAGAGAAAAAAAATAAAATAAAAATCCTAAACAGGCTTGAGGACTGAACTGCTCCTCCAGCATCCATGAGGTCTTTTGCAGGCAGCACTGAAACACCGGTATGAAGCCATCAGGCATAACTTGAGATGCAGAATGGAGCTGTCCTGCAATAACTGGATATTTTCATTTTACAGCACTTTTTAAAAAAACAAAAACAAAACAAACAAAAAAACCTTTCTGCATCATTACATCCACTTTAAATATTGAAAAGGATCAATTAAATTATTTATTAAGTTTGCCAAAGTTACTGAATTTGCACAATATATTGAGAGGCAAGCTGAAAAGAACATTAGCCTTTTTCATTGGGTTCCTTCAATATGTTTCATTAATATATTTGATTTTAGGGGACAGAAAAGGGTGTTTTGTGTGTGTGTGTGTTTGCGTGTGAAGTAGTTGACTGCAGTGACACTCATAAGCTCATAATGTTTGACTTTTAAGTTTTGTTTTCCTTTTTTTCCCTTACTTTTTTTCTAATACTATAAAATGGAACTACATGTCCATCAAACATCTGTTTTCTATTACACAGATGACACATCTGAGTTGCAACCAATAGTGCATTAAAAACAACAACAAAAAGTTGTTCCTAAAATTCACAACATTATCTTCCTTCCTTTCACTTCTACATAAAATGAAACATTAAAATTTTCTTGTAAATTAATGTGAAATCACTGACAGAAATAATGTAAAGGCAGAATGTGATGCATTGAACATCATCTTCTACTAAATGGAACAGGTCAGATACTGCATAAGGTGAGATTTCTCTATGGTAAAACTGGTAAATGAAATCAAAGCTTACAGATCTGTCTCCCTGAGAAATTTAGAGACTGTTCCTTTAATTTGCATAGTCATGGAATACATTAGTCCTTCAAGTTTAAGTTCCATCTCTGCATGAGCACTCCAGGTGAGTGTCCCCATGCTGAGTAACAGCATCCTGTTGATTCTGTGGCCCAACACAATCTGAATGCTCAAATGCCTGTATAAAGTATTTCTCTAATGCTAGGTTTTAATCTCCTCATGAGTGTCTGTGCAGCATCCTAAACAATTTACAGGATGCTGTCTTGCCATCTAGACTAGTGCTCCAATAGTAAAACTGGCTGAGTGGTGATAGCATTCATAATATGTCAGCTCTTCCCTCCCCCCCAAAAAAAAACAACCACCACCACCAAAACAAACAAAAAAACAAAATCACAACAACTAGTCACCCAGTCTCCCGCTGGATGCTTTATTGTGGGTGAGAAGGTGGTTCAATATATTCCTTTTTAAAGTGTCTTCTGGATCTCCTGTTTTGTTTTGTTTAATTTAATTTAATATAATTTTATTTTATTTTATTTTTTATACTGGGCACTATTGATTGATACTATAGAGAAGCGTCTAGCATTGTAGAAGTTTCTTATCCAACAGCGTGTGTAATAACAGGTTTGATACCACATTAACAGTTTTATTTTAAGATCAGTCTCTGGTGTTTCTAGACTGATCTTGGGGATCAAATTAGAATTTCAGTGTTCCTGCTGCACTTGGCCTAGCAAATGACCACTCCTAGTGGTACAGGAATGCAGGACAGTACATTCAGTATCTTCAGTACAATGCAGCCCATGAACAAAACTCCTCATTTACTCATCTCCGTATATTTGCTGTACTATGGATCTGGGGTAGAAATATGAGCTTAAGGTCTAATTGTTTGAAACACACATATTTTAAAAACAAACATTTTATTTTTAATCTTGTAATTACTTTTTTTAGTCAATTATTATTATGTCTCCATGACTTTAGCCTCACTAAATTCAAATCTGTGGAATGGAAACAAAAGATCCTCAGACAGGCTCTGAACAAATATGACAGGTAGAAATACAAAAAGAGAAATTTAAAAACCCATAATAACAAATAAGGATTTTTCTGTACAAATGAAGCCACATTGCAAAATGAAAGATTTTTCAGCTCAGATGTTGATGAACATTACTGTTTCTTCTGTACCAAAATAAAATATGAAATAAATATATTAATTAATAAAAATACCCATTCCACTGCTTTTTTTTTTTTTTTCCTCTTCGAGCAGACAAAACCATTTACTGGTGAAGATGTAAAATATAAACCTCTGATATGAATATTTAATGCATGTAAACTGGAGGAATGATGGTTATATTGTGATTTACCATATAGAAAAGAACAGATATGCAGAGGTACAGGGAAACCGCCCACTGAAATATCCTTTCTGTATCCATATTTCAGTTCTAAGAGATTTATACTTTCAAGCATTAAAGCTCAAAGACTTGTCTTGATGAACATCTTTTTATAGTCTTTTCATATTCATGCATAATACAGCTTGAGATGCTGTCAGTCATCTATCTCCATTTATCCTCTGTCTTTGTAATTATTGTGTATATTTTACCTGCTTTAACTCAGTGTATATTTTCAGAATTGTAATACGGCCAGGGATAAGACCTGGGAGCTGCAAATAGTTGATACCAGAATTAATGTTTTCTATATTTTGAAAAGTACATTTATATATATATGTATGTATATATATATATGTATATATATTTTTTTTCTGATGTTGTATGCTACAGGCTTTTGCCTACCTTATTGCTTCTCTTAGGAGCAGTCCTAGTCTCTTGCATCTGATCAGGTAAATGTAGATAGATACAGTAAAAGATTTGTTTCAGCTGCAGGCAGGAAGAACGGGGATTCGGGGCCAACTGGTAACTTCAGTATTGCTGAAGCCACTCTGGTACAGAGTCCAGCTGACCTGGAACAGAGATGTTACTGCTCAGTAAATGCGCTCTCTTACAGAAAGGGGCGACTGTGTCTAAATAGTGTACTTGAAATGTCTGCCTGGCTTCTTCTACCTCCTGAACTATGGCAGAGAATTTTTGGAGGGAGTGATTTCTGGGTGGTCAGTGTCATCTGAGTCTGGTTCACAAAGTCTGACAAAGCAGCTCATCTGTGTGGGAACATCCAACAGCACTGGTACCTTCTCACTTCCTGGCATGGGAGCAGCCCCTATTGCCTCTCTCTGCCTTGGTCATGTACAGGAGTAGATAGGTGACCCAACAAAATTGTCCTATATTACAATTACCCAGGGCAGACCCTCCTCCATCCTCCTTGGGTCATTTTGGGTAATGTTTGAATTCCTATTGCTATAGACATTTAGTTTTTGAATATGCATAGATCATTATGTGTTGCTGTTAAGCGTCTGTGTAACAGACACGCATGCTGTATAATGGAACATATGCTTGCTTGTTTGAGCTTGCATGTAACAGCCACACCAGAAATGATGATATAACACTTATTCGTTCTCTCTTTAGTCACCCATCTTTTCTGTGTGACTTCTGATTTTGAAGCTGTTTTTAGAGCTGAGGTTCAGTAGTTTCATTTTCCATGCTATGTGCACAAAGCTTGGCTGGTCCCATTATTGAACCAGGTTGTGTGATCATGGATGGCTGCAGAGGAATTGGGTTCCTCTACCTCCCTCCTACTTTTCCTCTTCCAAACCTAAATTTTGCCCTTGACAATTTTAGACTGGACATGACTTATGACTTAATCGTGAATCTTAGAAAAAGATATTCTGATTTTAAAAGAAATAAACAGCAACAACAAACAACTCTGAGGTGAGGAGGCGGGTGAATCTATCTCAGCACTCTTATATGAGCTGAGGATCTTTCCTTCCTCAGGTTCTGTGCTATTTGGAAGTCTACAACAAATCCTATGCTCACACTCTCTTGCTTACACAGACAGGAGTGCAAGCTCTTGAGCTCTCTTGCATCCAGGACTTGCTCAAATAATAGCTTGTGTAGGAATAGTTCTTGTTTCCAAATATCAGCCAAAACTTTGGGTGTTAATATGTCCCCATGGTGATGAGAATACATTTTACGGTATAAAAAAGCTGTCAAAAACAAGCACTTGTATGTTAAATAACATTAAGCATTAGAGTCTGGTAGTTTAACAATTGGTTGATCTGATTTATTTATTCATTGCAGGCTGAAAAAGCAGAAGGATTTATCAGGCTTCCAGACTTCAGTGTGGACCGAGCAACAGAATGCAAAAAAAAGCAGTAAGTTTATCTCTTAGCCCTGGTTTTGCATGATTTTTTTTACAGTGTTGCGAAGAATTGGATCTCAGTAGTGCCTGACAATGGATCTGTGGGGAGCTCTTCTGTGTTGTATAAATGGGATTTTAAATGTGTTACTCAAAGAAAACCATACAGTAAATATGCTTTTGCAAATTCTCTGTCAGATGTCCTCTACGAAAGCTGCAATTAAAAAATAAATCAGTATGCTTTTTTTGTTGTTGTTATTGTTCATTGCTTATGAATAAGTGGCAGTCTATCTTAGATGCCTTCTCTTGTCTGGTGAGTTCAACAGTGATGTAAGTAATACTGCTTCCCTTTCAGTTGGGACTATTCCTTAAACTGCTGCAGTGCAACTTTGGGCTGTACAAGCTTCTGGTTGTGCAGGGAGTGAAAACCTTGTTTAGCAGAGTACACATCTAAAAATATTATCTCCAAACTCCATGTACAACATTGACTTCCAGCTGCTCCTGAGCACACTTCAAGGGTTTGGAGGGGTGTTGCTGCTGTTTAAAGTTATAAAGCTCAGCATGATTTTTATTTTGTCCCTTAAGAGAAAACCTTTGTTCTGTTTGCATGCTGTTCTTAGCCCTAGGAGTTCTTGAGATTAACTGCGCATTTGAATCCTCCAAAGAAAGGGGGGGTAGAAATTTTGAATATGGGGAGCTCCAAATTGTTTTCTCAGAAGAGTGGTGGTTGACTCATTAAACACAGGACCAGGAGAAAGTTTTTAATTGCTGCAGTTCATGATTGCTAGTGACAAACTGGAAAGGGTATTCTTCTGGTTATAGTCATTACACATTGAGGATACTGTTGGAATTGCTTTTTCATATAAATAAAGCATATTTCACTATAGGAAAGGTGCATGTAATTCGAAAGTAGTATTGTCTTTGTGAGGTGACATAGGGTAGTCGAAACAGACCATGTACCAAGGGAAATCTGCCAGTCAAAATAAGAAAAGTTGATGACTTTTCTTTCATTCTGCATTTCTAGAATGTTTGAGTTAGCTAGTTCAGTTTCCAGTGTCTTCCATCTTCCTTTGTTTTTGATTATTATTATTATTTTAAAATATGGGCACAGTAGGCAGTCAAAGATCACTGATGTTTACATATTTTTACATATTACATTTTTACATACTGCAGTAAAGAATCAATTGGTTTTATTAACTGTCAATCATTTATGGCAGTTTCTACCTCTATGGACCCTGTTGTCCTTTACTCAAGAAAGTCACTCTTGCACTTTGATAGAAGCTTGAGTGTTGTGGCAAAAGGGTAAAAGGACTATGGGTAGATTCCTGAGATATGGGAAGCTTGTTTCCTAAAGGAACTCAAACCTGTATGTTCATCCCCACCCCCGCAATGTCTCTGCTATGACTGTCAACCTCTGCTTCCAAGTATGTTCAGAAGCTGGTGAACTACGAAGTTGTTGATATCATTGGAACAGCATAAGTAAATTTCCCTTTATCATTCCTCTTCTCCATTGGAAAAGACAGCTTCAAAACATAGATAGTCTGCTAGAATAACACATAAGAAATACACGTTGGTTGGTATTTAGGTAAAAGTGTTTTTTCAAAGTTGGTGTTTCCTTCTCAAGGCAGCGTTAAGAACAAGCACACTAGGTCAGACCAAAGCAGTCTAACCTTATATCCTGCCTACTAAAGTGGCCCAAAGTGGGTGCCTAGCAAAGATTAAAGAAGAAAAACATATAGTGCTATTTCCTTAAAATGCTCTTTCAGACTTCAAACAATTTACTGGTGAAGCTTCCTGAGTTAGAAGTATGTCAGTGTATTTACTAACTTATGGTAGATTTCCACCAGTTTGAAATTATTAGTGCTGAATTAGCAGCACTCATGAGGATACCCCTAACATCCTGAGGTGGAGTTGCAGAACATAATTGTTGGCATGTCAAGACCTCCGTTTTTTTTGGTGTCAAACCTAATTGCCTCTTTGGTGCCTCCTAAAACTTGTCATGGAGACAACAGTGAAGAATCAGTCCCTATTCACCTGTTGCATGCCACGTGTGATTTAATGTATTATACCTTCTTTTTACCATCAGTTCTCTATGCTGTGGGATCTTAGCCTGATTAATCATCCACAGAATCTGCCCCTTACCTTGGGTCATCCCTGACACTTTCTCTGAACCTCTTTCAAATTTTTTTACTTTTCTGAGCTGGGGAGAAGAACAAAACTGCACACCGTATTCAAGATGTGGGCACACAACAAACTTATGGGGTTGCAAAATGAAAAACTTAGTTTTATTCCTTTTTACATCATTTTTTAATTCCTGTATTTTATATTCTCTGAATACTGTGTAGCCTTAGAAGAGCTAAAAATAATCTTGAGTTTTAAGGAACTAACTATATGGATGGATAAGCAGATCTGGATTAATACAGTGGAGTGAATAAATATTTTAAATAATTAATTCATCTATTTTTTTCTTATGCAAACTAGTTTTCTTCATCTCTCTCTTATTTTTATTTTCTTAAAGTGCTATTAAGATCAGCCACCCACAGATCAAGACATTTTATTTTGCGGCAGAAAATGTTCTGGAAATGAACACGTAAGTAGGGAGTGACTGGCCATGTTTCATCCTGTCTCACATCTGAGAACACTCTGAAAGTTCATTCTCTTGCTGTTAAGCAGTTGTTGATGAAATTATTCTGGGTATTACCAAGTCTATTTTTTTTCCTTTTTTTTTTTTTTTTTTTTTTTGCCTGATCATTAAGTAGAAGGAAACTGCTGTTATTTATTCACTAATGAAAGTTGGAATCAGAATCTCATTGTTAGTGCAATTCTGATACTAGTCTTCCTGAAATTTGTAGACATAAATCCCTTTCCATTACAAAAGTGAACTAGCAAGTTCATCACCATGGGAGAAGTGAAGGAGGAAAGGAAAGAGAGGGAAAAGCATTACATAGCTTCGTTCCAGAAATGATCTAGGATTTGAATGTAATATTGCTTGTTTTCAGAATAGCATGTCAATTAGCAAGGAGGGTTAGAGTGATATAAATAGCTGCTTTTTAAATCTAAGCAAGTATTTAATTCCCTGCCAAACTATACTGCAGTTAAACAATTCTTATGCCAGGTTAGAAATTTTCTTTCCCCACTAATGTCTGTAGGACCAATAACTCATTCATGCTTTTTTTTTTTTTTTCTTTTTTTAATGAAAGAAATAAAAATGGGTACTAATACTGCCATTTCAGAAACCATCAAGCTATCAGAAGTAGATATTACTTGCTATTGGTCCACTTTGGGCCTATTTGTATATAGCTCTTATTTTCTTTGTCTTTATAACTTCAGATTGTAGTCTGTTCACAATGCTATTTCATAAAAAGGCCAAAATTCAGATAAAAAGCAATAAAATTTAAATGGGAAGGGAGATTCTCTGATAGATAATTTAAGATTTTAATCATGGCTGTACTAGTGACCTTTGTGCTTCTTCATAGAGCATTGACTGTTCTCCTCTATAAGCAGGAGACCTCATAACTATTCAACATACCATGAAAGGAGAGATGCTGAGAAAACGTGTGAGACCTTCTGAAATGGCTATAGAGACAGAAATGTACTGTAGTACAGCAGTGTACATTTATTTATTTACTCTTAAATCTGTACTCTGTAGGTATATACATGTAAATATAGATGTAAAAATGTGTTGCCCTTTGTAACTTGGAGAAGTCCAGAGGCTGCTGGTGGGGAAATAACCATCTATTTCTATATGGTTACATTTCCTACAAGAGCTCCTCAGCACAGTAACAGGTTCTTGAGGCAGGTGGGCTGAGGACTGAGAATGGAGGACTGCTGGCCAGAAATACTTCTGTAGAGAAAGTGACTGTCTGAGAGAGAAGAGGAAAGGATGTAGGGGGAAGGTAAAGGAAAATGTAGAGCTAATGGGGGACATATGAGTGTTAACAACTAGTTTGGAGCCCAGCTGGAAATTCTCAGTGTCTTAATGACACTTTGGAAATGTTTAGTCTCATGTGAGTGAGTGATCGAAATCTACACAGGTGTCCCAGCTCTTATACCCCACAATGATTTTCTTCAAACTCCACTTCTGGAGTAAATTTCATTTTGGCTTAAAGCTAGGTAGCCTAGTGTTAGAGCAGCTTGCGCTGTACTGCACTAGTCCTAATTCCTCACTGTTGTAACTGATGATGTTTTGCTTGGCAAAGTATAAAATACATGCATTTAATACAGAAAGTACACGCATACTCACGCATATGTCGAAACAGACTAAAAGACATCTGTTCTCTTGGCTCCAGTCCCACACATACATATGCGTGTGAGTGGTTCCACTGAACTCACTGGGGCATTCGTGTGTGTCGAGTTACTTGTGTGCATAAATGCTTGATAGATCATGACCTTTTGCAACTCTTCATGCATATATATCTATTAAGTCAATGGTGGGTTTATTAGTATAGTCATTTGCTTCATTCATTTAGCATGTATTTGCCATAGTAGTGCACATATGAAAAGCAGATTTGTGCTGGCTAGCTCCATGAACTTATCTGGCCAAAATGTACTCAATTACTGGTGTCTGACCTTGTATTTAATGAATTCCTGAATTTCTTAGCATCTTTTTCTTTTGTTTAGATTTTTTTTGAAAAAAAAAATAAAAAAATTCTCTTACAATTAGCTGCTACAAGAAAGTCATTAATCCACTCTTATAGAAACGGTACTTTTTTCCCTTTGTTATGTATCTCTATTATTTATATGACAGTCTAAAAATCCAGTTCTGGTGCTACTGATCTAACAGACAAATTCTCATTTCTTTCTCTCATCCAACATGATGTTTTATCTGAGTTATGAATCTTAATTCATGACCTTGTTACATTCCTTATTTATGCCTTGAGTTTTAATTTGAAGGGCTTGAGCTTTTTTAGTTCTTAGTTTCTTAAAATATGGATAGATCTGAATGACTTATAAGGAAGCACAGCATACAAAAGGTATACCCAGGGATAGTTTCTAGCACTAGAAAAAATACAGCTACCTAGGAAGAGAAATATTTTTAAAGAAAAAAAAAAAAAAGAAAAACCAAAACCAGAAAAAAACAACCCACAGTGAATAGCTTAAAGCAACACAGGAAGTGAGACTTACTAAAAACAAAAGTAATAGGGAGTTGAACAGAATGTGATGGTCAGAAAGTCTGGTTCTAAATGGCTTAGATTCTTAGGTTGTGCAATGATAGCTTTGGCCAGGGCAGCCGACATCATCTCCTATGGCTCCTATGCTTTTTGCTTTACTGTGGGTGAAACATAACAACTCAACAGTGGGACTAAGCCACTGATATTGTGTTATAGCACTTATACTTTGACTTCCAGTAATGCAACTCTTTCTTCATCAGTAGTGGTTTTTTCAAGATCAGGAAGAGAAATTGTCCCAGGCAACTAGTGCTCCTCACCATATACGGTCTGAGAAGAGCATAAGGGCTGTAAAACTGGAACTATGAACAGCTTGCTGTTGTACCTGATGGACAGTGGTTCAGAAATCCGTGCACAGAAAAATAAAGTTCTAGGTAGTCTATTACATATTACAAAGTGGGCTTGTGAGCTGTTCAGTGCATTTCTCCTATTGGCAACTGAGCCCTCCACGGTTGTTACAAGGAATGGGAATGTTAGCATCCAGGTAACTGGTGCATTTCTGGAAAATTCTCTGAGATATAGAAACACTGACATTCAGACTTGGGGTTAAAGAAAATAGTCGTGGTAATGTGGAACACATCTGAAAAGTGAGAAACTGTCAAAACAGCATGCAAGTATCATTAACGATGTATTCTCTCTGTTCTGAACATAGGTGGCTAAGCAAGCTGGGGATGGCTGTAGACCCTCAGGCACCCAATGGGAAGAATGAAGAAGGTATGTTTCTAATTGTGGTTTTAGTGTGTAACTACAGAATGTCCTTCACAGTTTCTGAAGGGCCAAATTTTTGTCAGATCTTTCCTTTCTTTCAAATTGTCACCTTGGGTCTGTCTGCCTATTGAGCTGAGCAACACCACACTAGCACAGCGCAAAGTAGCCATAGTGAAAGATATGCTGGTGAGATGTAGTGTCACTGAAAGATGCTTGCTGTTCTTGGGAGTGATGTGTAACTACCATCTGGCAGTTTGCTGGCTTGCTAAGCCTACAAAGAACATAGAGAAACATCTGTGCTACTCCGGGTTTAGAGCTGGTAAGGTATATGAGAGCAATTGCGCAATATTTCTAGCTTGGCCACATCTTGTGCAAACCTGTCCCTCACATCTTCTCCATTTCTGGGGGTTTCAACAGCAGTAATATTGGGTGGTGGAGGTTGTACTGAAGTCTATGATTTTCTTCACAGTCAAGCCCAAAAGTTAATTGTGGAATGAATAATTTTTAAAGTTCCATAGCAATTTATTTACTGTTTTAATTTGTGCAGTGACATAACAGTACTTTTTGGTGGGAGGATACCTGCACTCAAATCATGAATCTAGGTAGACAGAGAACAAAGAAAGTCCCTTGGAGTTGGAGTGCTTGTTAAAGCTGCTTTGTGAGGATGTGTGCATTGGGAACTGATTTAAAATGAGAAGTGCTGTGGGTAGTATTGTGTTAGCAAACCAGGGGCGGACTCTGACCTAAGGAATATATATCTTCTTCTGGGATTTTGACCCTCCTTATTTTTGTTTGTTTGTTTTTGTTTTGTATGAGAACAGGTTGTGAAGGAACAGGCATTATGAAGAAGAAACTGGTGTTTAGAGTAATATGCTTAGGTGATGCAGCATATTTTGTCGAAGCACTGAAATGCCCTTCTGTACATTCCTTCTACTATTTCCCAGAATGAGGTTGTGGTTTATGTCCAGGTTTCAGGCTTGTAATGACATTATTGATTTGCCTCATCTGGCTCTATTTTTACTCTGCCAAAAGAAGTAGCTTTGTACTGATAAATACAGATACCACTGATTTCTGATCATACAGCAAAACTCATAATTTTATTTGTTTTCAATTTATGGTTCCTATTTTGCTCTTGTCAGGAGACTTTTTAATTTCAGGAGCATTTTTAATTTCTACACCCCAGCACTCTACCAAAATGTTTTTGTCCTCTTTGAACCTAATTTTGCATAAAAAACAATTTGTGATAATTAGTATAAGGGGCTGTACATCATATTGCACAGCAAGGCCTGCATAGATAATTGCACTTGGGGAAGAGGTATCCAAACATTGTCCATGCAAAGGAAGAGTTTGTTTGATGGTGTGGGGAAGAGTTATCCAAACATTGTCCATGCAAAGTAAGAGTTTGTTTGATGGTGCAAGTGATCAAAGTACTATACAGAAAAACAAATACATTTTTTTTAAAGCCTCAGAAACTGTAGTGGATTGGTTGCATTGGCTGAGCTGATAGTTATAAAACTTGACACAAAATTATGACTAATATTAATAAAAACAAAACACTGCAGAAAGATTACAGAATAATTTATCAAAAACTTTTGCTGCAGGTTGTCTAATTATCCTGGAATGAACATAGCCAAGATTTCTTTGTTTTTTGAAGCTGGTGGGCCATCTCCCCTTAAAGAAAAGTGGCTCTGATTTGGGTGATCAAACACCTGTTTATCTCTCCATGTGTTTTGTCATATGTGCTCCAGCATCTGTCATGAGTGGGGTTCAAAGCCCCACTGATACCTCTGTGTGGATGTGCCCTTGCAGAGGCACTGCTACATCTTGCATCTCAAAAAATGCTGCCATTAATGACAGTCACTTCTGTTCCCAGCAACCTGATTTTTCCCTCTTTCACATATTGTAACTCTTCAGGAGGGTCTTTAGTGTATCAGAAACAGCTATTTTGTTTTGTTTGCTTTGTTTTGTTTTCCCAGTTCTTCTGCATGCCTGAAAGGGGAGCCGTAGAAAAATAAGCTCTTTACCAAGAGTAATTCAAGAATGCATTCACAGAGCTTTAGAATTTGATATGGGCTGTACTGCAGCCAGTCCTCAGTGCTAAGATATGCCAGCAAGTATTTTCAGTAAACAGAATTGCAGCTATGCTATTAAAAATCCTATAGTTCTGCAAAGAGTACTGGGAGAAAGCTTCACTTTGTTAACATCTTAGAAACCTCTCCCTTGTATAAAATTGCTCTCCTACAACATTTTTTTTTTCCTTTCTCCTCTTGCACTATGGTTATTAACCCCCCAAAATTACATGCATGAAAAGTAAGTGTGCTGGTATTAATTTAGTTAAAAGATGTGGTAATCACAGCCAATTGGATAATAATGTGGGTCTGGAAAGCTGGTACATGCAGGGATATTTCATAGAGGGAAGTGGTCTGGTCCAGTATTTATAACCAGGCCCCAAGAATATAATCCAGCAACTTGCTGCCTCCCCTCATGTGTCATTTTATCAATGATTAGTACTTCATGCAATCCATTGTTAAAAAGCATCTGAGAAGTGTTGGAAAATACCTCCACCTGCTACACACGTAGTTAAATAATGTGCCTGCCTCTCTACCTCCCAAGAGTTACTGGGGCTCCATCAGCTTGCTTTTTACTTGAAAATAAAAAAATGAGTGGGGTGTATAGTTGTAGAGTCCTGTGTCTATATTTATTGCTAGCTCAGCAAGTGTACCCCTGTGCCATGTGGCATGAGGGTGTGAGCTATTGTGTGGTGGCAGAAGTCCCCTGAGGGTGCTTTATGGTTTTCAAAGCACCATACGAGCAATCTGTTTTTTCCAAAATCGTAGCCAAAGCCTGTTGCCAGCTCCAGGACAACTTGCTGGTTACAGAGACTATGGATAGCATTGGCTACTTGCAACATGTCTCCCTAAATATGCACAGGTGATGCAGCCTTTCTTTTAAAGGTTTTTAAGAGAGGAAAGAACCCAAATTTATTTGTGAGACTATCTACTGCACTGCCACCTAGTGTTTTTTGTTTGTTTTGTTTTTACTTAAATGAATAATTAAAATAATAAGAGAAGGCTGCTGTCAAGCAATGGAACATTACCATAAGTGGGTTAATTTTCAGTGTCATAGACACTGGCATGTTACAATATGGTCCTCAGACCTCTTGGTGACCTTCGATGACCACAGTACCCTGAGGAATAAATGAATGTTGTTTTAACACCTTGTTTTTGCTCATTTTCCATGTCTGCCTCAGAATGCTATAGTGAAAGTGAACACGATGATCCAGAAATAACAGATACGCCACCTCCCCCCTACATGGCCCAGTCACAACCTCCTCAGTTGGTAAGTGTTATTCTAATTAGCTTTATTTGGTAGCTGGTTGGAATAAGTCTTTCTCCACGTGGTGGGCTATTGCCTAATAACCTAAACCAGAGGCTGGAGACATCCACTCACTGTGTCTGAGATGTGGATGCACCAGCCGTGACGGTCACTGCCCTGTGATGTTCCCTGCAGTTATTGTTACCTGTGCTGTTAAGAGCTGTGCACTAACAATAATGTCTCCTTCTGAAGGAGGCATATTTACTTTGTTTGAGAAAGAAAGGTGTCACTTTACCTCATACACGTGATGAGTCTTCTCATTATGAGATTTTTAACACACTACTGTAACCTAGTTTTTTACTATATATATATATATATTTTTGAATCCAATCCAAAATCTTCTTTCTTTTTATGACCCTGGTAACATCATCCGACAGATTTGCATTTATTTACTCAAGTGAGCTGTTCTTAAATCTGCTGAATTTAAAGCTGCTTTTGTGCCAATGAGAAGTGAAGAGAAAGAGGCATCTTCTAACAGTAATAAAATCAGTTCTTCTCCTGTACCTCTGAAAAAGAGATTAAAAAAAGAAAGCAGCCATCTTCCCTAAATTTACTCTTTCTCCCTTGCTGTGAAACATTTGTCCACAATATTCCCTCCTGCCTAGCTTCTTTGCATAAATTAGAATAAGTTGTATGCACCTTCATGTGTCTAATCATATTGCCTCTCCTATTTAATAGCCACTTATTGCTCTATTAATCTTGTTTTACTATTGATGTTCTTTATGGTGATCTCATCTCCACTTATATGCACTTCAAGGTACGAGGTTTAACTTATTCTGTGTTTGGAAATGAGTAATCTAGTCGGGGATGGTAATACAGCTGAAATATGAAATCCTGATTTCAAGCCTTTCCCTTCCCTAGCTGAAAGTTAATATCTAGTGGTATGCAGTAATATGCTTGTTGCCAAATTATCTTATTACATCTCATGGTTGAATAAAAAATGCAACAACAACTTTGTTGCTGTGACCCAGGCTCCTGTACTGATGCTTCGAAATGACATCTAATAACTGCAGTGGTCAGATAGGCAGTGAAGCAGGAACAAATTTGAAAAATACAGATGAGCTGGAGCAGCTTGCGTGGCCACAGTCAATAATAAAAGGAGATGTCATGCACAGAGCTGCCTGTCCAGCAATCTTTAATTAGCTCACGTAAAGCTGGGAACGTATGTCACGCTGTCACCTATTTGCCTCTGTCTGTTTCAGTCAGATAAGTCAGTCTTCACTTCCTCTCCTAAAACAGTTGTGCAGCATTAATCACCGTGAAACAACCCACCTGGCACTCAGGGGATGCGTGGCGTTCATTGCTGTATAAAATGGGATTCTTTATTGCTTGTATTAACTGAAAGTTAAATGTGGCCAAGTAGCTATAAATATTGGAGAAAATAGAAACCTTGACAATACATCTCCAGGAGTTATTCTGGGCTGAAGGCCGATAATGAAGCGTCTTGAATTTTATGCCTCAGTGGCTTGCCTTTAAGAGGCGGTAGATGTCTTTCCCGTCTGCTCACCTCTGAGCAAATGCCGGCATTATTCCAGATGATGAGTTTTAAACAGGTGTTATTTTTTTTTTTTTAGTTTTCTGTTTTTCTGGCTTCCTGCTGCTTGTCAGCCTGTTGCTGCAGAGGCGATCTCCGGTTGTCTTCCTCCCATACTCTCTTCTTGAGTGCTGGCCTCAATGTTTTAGCAGGGGACACGTGGGATACAGGCAAAAGTGCAGGTGCTGAGGTCTTGTTTCCTCAGCCTTTCCTCTTGAAGGTTGTCTTCCCTCCAGCCACTACCTCTATCTGCAGATTTCCCTTCTCCCCACCCCCATCTAAAAATCTCTTCCACATGGACAAAGGTTAGTGTCTTCTCAGCAAATTAATCAACTTTTCACCATAAGAGCTGCCACTGGAAAAAGCTCTAGCTGCCACTGCTCTGCCCTGTGATCAGATTGCTTCATGTGGTGGGTGAGGAGCTGTTAGGCACTGTCAGAGCCGCATTTAACTACAAATCAGAGTCTTCTTTTAACTACCTGATATACTCTCCCACTCCCTTCAGATAATTACTGGAGGAAGAAAACCTCTGGAAATACTATGGAAGCACTGTGTTTACTGGGAAGTGAATTCTAGGAGTGGAGCTCTTTGTTTCAGGGAAGGCCTCCACACTTGAAATCAACACCAGATTGGAAAATATTAATCTGGAAACTAATAGCCACTCAGGTGCAGGCCCTGTTACATGTTAGAGTAGCAAACATTTCACTGTAATTCTTGCACAAAATTTCAATTGCTCTGCTGACCCAGATTGTTTTGGAACTTGAAAAGCAAGAGTAGTGATCATGAGATTTCTATGTTTATGAGTGCTTGTGGGTATTGTTGAAGAAAAAAGCAAGTGAAGAACAAATAAATTTTGACATCTGTAGGACAAAAGCTTAACTGACCATTTGCATTCATTTCTCCACATGTGAATAGATTTATTACTGAAAAATCAACAGCTATATTGAGTTAATAGATTGCAGCAATCCCAAAAGAGCAGTAGAGGTGTTTTGTGGTGATATTTTTTTTCTCTAAAAAATGTCTAGAGACGCATTGATCTCCAATGGAATCCTTATGATCTCCTAGCCCAAGCATCTACTTTTTAAAATGTCTCCAAATAGAGATTTATTGTTATGTACATTAATGCAAAACTTCCAAAGGAACCACTCTAGTACTTTAGGTAAACATTTGTCATGCCAATAAAAAATATATATTCATATGTAGAGAAAGAGATTCTGGCATTCTGCTTCATTCTCATCCAAATTTTTTATTCATTGCAAAATGAAAAAGACAACAAATATATATTCCACTCAGTAATATACAATTTTCATGTCAACAGCACTTTCTTTTGTATGGACAAATGCCAGAAAAATAGAGGTGAGGTGTAACATCCTCCTCTCAAGTCTCTAAATAATTGAAACTAGACCATCAACGTGAGCAACAGCTTTCATTTATTTTTTTCTTTGTTTTTTTGCTTGTTTGTACAAACACTTCAACAATTTGTCTTTGCAATATATCTTAGACAGATAAAATGCTTCAGGTCACCTGTATTCCCAAGGGCTTTTTTGTTATTCACACGTATAGTTTATGGCAGCATCACCTTGTCCTTTGCTTTAGGGTGTATTTGTAAAGGTTTCATTTTAAAAAAGCAAATATGCACTTAAAACACAATGTTATACTTGTAACGGGGATATAAATAAGGTCCGGTCCTGCAGTGTTTGTAACAGTCTTGGAGGATTGACTTTGAAAATTTACAAAAATGAAGAAAGTGCTGCAAACAAATGGTGACCTACAGTCTCCTCATCTTATGAACTAATTAGTAGCTTCATGAGACAACTGGATTAGAAACACAGGAAGGCAATCTTACATTTCTTAATGTAAAAGGGAAGTAGTATTACAGTAACACTGAATTGCAGAAGTTTGTATAGCATAATCCAAAAAATTGTCACTCTTGTTTTAGTTTATATGAATACATCTTCATTCTAGTTTACCAGTGGATTATTAATAGGTATTCCAGGCTAGTCTCTGTTTTGTGTTTGAGCTCCTCCGGGTTTCCCTAGCAACACCATTTCTGTATTTTTCAGTGCTTCTAGTTTAGTTATCATCTATTTCAGTCCTTACAGAGATCTATTCTGCATATGTATTGAGAATATAAACTTGCTAGAATTGTGGTCCATCAAGTCTGGTATTCTGATGCTGACTCTGTCCAGTAACAGATGATTTGCAGAATGAATACATTTCTGCAGTAACAGAAATGCAAGAAATCTAGCTGTTATATTATGTCTCATTGTGGTTTCTGCTAGGGGATGCAATCTGAAGTTTTGTCTCCCCAAGCCTTCAGTTGCTTTATTTATTATTGTTAATTAATCTTCTGGGTATTTGTGTGTATATTTGTGTGTTTGTGTGTGTATTACTTGTGCATTTGACTCTCTTTCTCGGTTCATCTTTTCAGTGGAGTTTGGTGGTTAGGAAGCAGAGTAGTGTTAGTTCTTGTTTGAGCTGATTTTGGTGACCAGACAATAGTACAGCTCAGCCAATGCAAATGCCTACTGTAGACAGATGTAAGCATGTATTTGCTCATCTGGGAAACTACATACTTCTCAAGACTTTGTTTTTCCTCTCAATCTTTCTTTATATGTAATTGTGCATCTATTGCACCCTCTCTTGTTCACCTTCTGGTTCCTGAGGATGACTGTTAGTTGTCTCTGAATCTGCTCTAGTTGCATGAACTCATGTTGATGCAGGGTGACAAGTACAGCATGGAGAGCCCTAAGATATGGTGATTTCTGATGCGTCTTTAGTGAAGTTTGGGTCCTTTTTCAGACTCATGTGCTCAAGTATGAATCTTGGCAGGTGAATGAGCAGCATGTCTTGCACCATCAACCTTTTCATGCCCTGTGCCCCATAGCTGCCTGTGTTTTCTTTTTATCACTAACTTCCCAACATATTACCTGTCGGCCTTCTTGGCACGGTGAATGATTAGTCCCCAGAATGGACTGGGCAAAATTCCTTTGGCTGCTGAGAAGGTCACTTCAATGCTGCTTCAAAGCTGTTTGGGCTGTCTATCTGTGGCTATGTCATTGATAGATTTATTCAATGCTTCAGGACAGCTTCGTGTTCAATGGCTAAGTCAGGGTTTTGCTTCTTCACTCTTGATTAGAACAATAAAGTTAGAAAGAAAAGAGAATGACTGTGAGATCTAGCATGGAAGGCTGCATTCAACATGGTATTTTTCATTATTCTTTTGTTTCTAAGCCTTCTAAGCTTTCAACTTGTTTTACCTCTAGCTTCCTTGTGACATAGTTTCTGAATTTACTGCTCTGTGAGAGATTCATTACCTTATTGGTTACCTTCAGGCTTTCTTGGATGGATAATCAATCACATTACATCAATTTTTCATTACTTTGCATTTCAGCTGCATGTCTATTGAGTGTAAGGCCTAGGAACAAGAATAACTTGGAATAACTTTTTTTTTTTTTTTTTTTTTTTTATTCTCCCATTTGTTTCTGGAAAGCAGGATCAACAGAAGTCTTCTTTGACCTCAACCCTGTCAAGTGAAGCATCTTGCTCTCTCTCATCTCCTGAAAGCACTTTGAACTCCCAAGAGTCATCATCTTCCTTGACGTCCAAAGTGGTTTATTCTGAGAGGCAGTCCTGGCTTGACCTTGTTAACAGCTCAGCTGTGGAAGAGGGTGATCAGCCTTTAACTTTCTGTGTACAGATTCACTCTGATGAGCAACCAGAAGTAGACTGTGGAGAAGCAGGAGAAAGCCAGATCTTGCCCAGTGGTGGATCCCAAAACACTTTAGGTCTGGATACACATTGCCTAACTGTGCCAGATGCAACAGGACAGAAATCACCAGCCAAAGGTGAGCTATTGAGAAAGGAGATTTTGTTTGCAGAACCATAAAATGGGAGTCTGGGGTGTTCCTTAGCTTCCTTTCCTGTTCCTTCCTTTATATTTTTTATTGAAGAATTTTCAGTTATAACAAACGTGGTTTATTGTGCCTCAAATAGACATCCTAGAATCAAATTGGTAAGTACATTTAGAGTTTTTCTCATATGTTAAGATCATAGACTCTGTATAAAATCTTAACATAGACATATTTTTATTAGCTTTATTTATTTCAATGCAGCTGTCATTTACTAGTTAAGGTTGAATTCAGATTTTAGGAAAGTTTCATGACATGAGGGTGGAGTTTCATGGTAATATATCTAGTGTAACAGAATTGACACCCTAAGCAAAATGCTGTATGCAAGATGTAATGAATGTGGAATTAGGTCAATCCACCTCTAAAAATGTAAATTGTAGTGTTTACTTTCACTATGTATTCCCTATTCATTTAATTGAACTTCATTGTAAACAAGGGAAAACAAATGTGATCCTGAATCAGAAGTCATTAAGGACTGGATTTTATTTAATCACATAGGTATCTGTATAGCCATTCTGCTATAGAAATATACTGCTAAATTTATAAAGATGGTGTAGTCCCAGAATTTGGTTGTTTTTACAGTTAATACAGCCATAGCAGGCAACGTATCTTGCCTTTTGAGCAAAGCTTCTCTTCCCTGCATTAAGAGCAGTTGAAGCATAAGAGGCATTAAAAGGAGATGTTCAGTCCACTACCTAGAAAGGTAATACATAAGGAAAGAATGATGTTCTTGTTCAATAGCTTTGCTCATGATTCAATATCCTTGAAAACAATTGAAGAAAGTACTGTATTACAGAGAGAGCAGTGTTGTCTCAGTCGAATGCAAAACAAAGATGCATCCAAAAGCTTAGGCTGAAGGAAATGCAAAGATGGAAACAAAGTTCATTGGACTCATAGGGATTTTTTTTTTCTCTGTGGGTGAATAGAGCTGAGAGCTGAATCACGGAAGTGTAAGTGTAAGGCACATTAGTTTCATCGTCACATATTGTCACTGTGATAATTTCAGGTCATTTTGCACTCAACTTCATTATCGCTAGAAATCGAAGGTGCCCTGCTAGAGAGTTCTGTGGCAATGAAGATCAGTAAGAATTAAAACTGAGAGTGAGCATATGTTTTGAAAGTCATGGTTTTGATTCCCACAGGTTTTGGCATTGTAAGTAGTTAAATAGCTGGGCATGGCAGAAATGGAGTCCCTAATGAAATTGTCACATATATTTTACCATATTCTGTAATTTTACCTTTAGGCTTAAATTTGACCAAGTGATTCCTTTGGGAAATATTCTTTCTATGGACTGAGGGATACTCAGGTTACATTTGAGCCTATATTAGCCTAATCAGCCTAATATATTTATATTCAGGTGGATTGTTGGACTGTATGCCATATAGGGCACAGTAGTTTATAGATCCCATTGAGGAAGATTCAGTGGTTGCTTTCTCCAACCACATTCTGCAATAATGCTCAGGTTAACACTTTCCAACATAACTGTAAGGATGACAAGTACTTTTATGGATGTTGACAGATTTAGCATGACACTTCATAATCATTTAAAGCAGAGTTTTATAGGCTTGTACAATGATATAGTAATACTTACGAACAAAGGCTGCCTTGATTTACATTTTAATCCTCATTTTTGTATATTCCTGCCATTTGCAGGGTGGTTTAATTGTCCCCAAAATGTTCCTGGTGAAATTAATTCATTCACTGCTCACTGCTTACCTATTGGCTGACCCTATTCACAGAACACATCCGTGGTAACCACTCTGCTGATCTGTGATGGAATTCCAGAAATAGATCATTTTAACAAGACAGTCACTATAGAAACTGTTTAGCTTCACTAGTTACTATCTGCATCATAACCATTGTTGAGCGAATAAGATATATACTATATATTAATTTTTCTTTTCTTTATTGCTCTGCAAGATATGAGGAGGGGATGGACAGTGTTTTTTTTTTTTGTTTGTTTGTTTGTTTTTGTTTTGTTTTTCAATTTACATTAGAAAAATACATGAAATAATTTGCAAAGAAATTAATGAAGCTATTTTAGTTTGTGAATGAGGTGAAAAATAAAAGCAAAAAGATTAGAGTAACATCAGTTCCCAATGGAAATTATCAAAAAGGATCCAGTTCTGGTTCTGTGTCTTATCCCCCAAGAATTTCCATCTCCAGCTAGTTGATAAGGATGTACACAAATACCCTGATGTAATTTCTAATTGTGGGATGAAAACTATCTGCAAAACTTCATAATTTTCAATACATTTTTAAGAACACCATTGTTATCTGATGTGAAACAAAAAGGTATACCTCAATGATTTGCTAGTGCAATGCATCTTATTTGCTTTGCATTGCTTCTGAACAGTGCTTGCCTGGCAGCTCTTTGTGTTCCAGAGTAATGGGACTGCATCCAGAAGGTGCTGGCTCCGCCTTGCAGTGGCATGTAATCTGAAAGCATATGTCCCATGCACATAAAGCCAGCCCTACTATTATCAGAACAGCCCCGTAGTCTTTGAATGCTCTCCCCACAGAGCCTTCACATGTGTACATGCTCTCCTTTTCCTTATGAGGATAGAAAATCACCTGTCACACAGTCTGCTTTACAGCTGTGTTCTGCTTAGCAAAACCCCAAGAGGAACTCGTGGCTGTAGCTGATAGAAGCTGAGAACTGAGGGGAAAGTTTTTCAAGAACTGAGGAGCGTTTATGTTGGCAAAAGTCAGAAATGGAAGCCAATGTGAGAAAAGTTGTTGCATAGAAGGAAGAAAGAGTAGCTGTGGCTTTGTTGGAAGAGCTTATTATGTAAACAGGAGAAGAGTAAAGAAATTTTAGAGATGAAATAAACAGTGAAAGAGAAGTTTTTCAAAGAGGATAAATGGGTTAATCTCTGTAAGAAAAACACAGATGCAGCCAAAGGATCATAGATTATTTTGTTAATGAATATTATTTAAAGAAAAATGCTAAGCAACAGTAGGTGTCTTGTGCAAGATGCACCAAATGATATTTTAATGACCTTTTCAGCAACTCTAACACTATGAACAATCTCAATCTTAATACTCAACTCTTGGGAAGAGGTTATGTACCAGAAGGTAGAACAAAGATACAGAAAATGAGAATTTAACATTTTTCTCTTTTGAAGGGAAATCAGCATTATATTGAAATTAACTTAGTGGGAATATTTAATACTTCAGCATTAACAGCCTTTTACATGTACAATGATAAAAGGAATCAATGCTGACATAAAGGAGCTGATAGCTAAACAAGAAACAGGAATACAAACAAGTACGTGACTACGTGCTTGGTGTCCAGAAGCTGGCCTTGTCCTGTCTAGAATGACTAGACACACTCTGTAGCCAAACTCCATGCTTTGTTTTTCTTCTGGCAACCACTGGAACAGAAGGTATCTGATTATGGCCCACCACTACCATCATCAAAAACAACGTTAACAAAAGGAAACTGTAGACATGGAGAGGTTACTGTAAGTGAACAGGAATGTGTGTTTGTATTTATGTGGGGACCTTCTACTGTAGCAATAACATCCTTCTTCCTTGCGGTTCCTGAGTGCTTTATGATCATGGCCACATGAAGTTAATGCATCTTGGCAAGAAATTTTTACAGTACCACTTCTGGTTTATTTATTTAACTTTAGCTTATAGTAGCTAGTAGAAGAGCTAGCACGTGCTGATATTTTGGGAAACCTGGAAATCTTTTCACACACAATTTGAATTTTATCTGGGTTGGTTTTGTGGGAAGAAGTTGGTTAAATAAGAGATGTATGTAGTCAATTCCTTCTTTTTTTGTGAATTGACATCCTCTTCCTCTCTTGAGTCTGCCTGTGCCAGTAATAGCCAAAACAGATCCTCTAGTGTGCTCTAGTCCCTCTGCTCCTTCTGCAAAAGTTACAGAAAACAGATTGTGGCTGAGACTAGCTAAGAAGCATGCTTAAAGAGAGCATTATTGTGTCGAAGAATAACTGTATTTGAATTATTATTTTGCTTCTGATAAAAAAAATAATATTAGGAATCACAGTGAAAATTATGGTTAACATTCTATGAACTTGGAACAAGACATATTTATTTGTGTTATTACCAGTTTAGTCACAGCTTGTTAAAAATGACATCCTTCACTGCTGAATTCACTATACTATGTAGTCAAGAGCCTCTGACTGTTGGTGGTAATGTAATTTTCCCTTAATTTTCTGCCACTCTATCCTACTTCTTAGTTTAGTAGTTCTGCATTTACCAGTGAGGAGTTTGCCCTCCTAATTCAATATTTCCTGTTCTGTGTAGTTCAGTGGGAAATGTGATTTCCCTGAGGTGTCATCATATTCACATTAGAAAGTCCACGACTACTATGGAAAATGGGTAGGGAGCGTGAGCGGGGGTAGGTAAGGGCAAAAGAGAGTTATGATGTTTTTCTCTCCTCTCCCCAGTGTGGGTCTATATGCTGCCCCATTGATATCAAAAGGTTTGGCAGAATCAGAAATAAGGGTATTAGCACAGCCACAATAACTTTGTAAGTGTAGCAAAGACAGGAGGAAGAAGCACATTATATATTTTTTTCCTTAGGATTAATACACAGCTGGAGAGTTATCAGATCCAGTTAGAGAATGGAAGAACACTTAAATTTCTTGGTTTTGGTTTAGAGTTAGTAAGATATGTTCTGCTGGAGGTGGATTTCAATGCAAAATGCTTTTTCTGCAAAACTTTGCCAATTTCTATTTCTTTACCACTGAGAAGCAATCAGCTTGATTTTTCACAGCTGCTTCTTGAAAAGTGCTGGATAATTTCACTTTTGTGAGCTTAAAGAGCCTTACAGTTGAGAGTTTTCAAGCAGGCTCCTGTGTTGCTGCTGCAAGGTGGGGAGTCTTGGTACTGTAATGTCTCCCACCTGTGGCAAGTTGGCCGACATGAAGGTGGAAGCTGAAAGCTGAGGAGGTGCAGAAGTGGTGTGCTGAGCCTCTGGCAGCTTGCTCTTGTCTGTGATATCTCCTGTTAGGTAGAGGGAAATTCCAGATAGGTGGCATAGAGCCACCAAGCTGTGTTTTACTTCTCCTGAAACAGCTGGTGAGAAGTTTGGGTCAGCCTGAAGTATTACTTTATTTTCATCACCTGAACATAGACAGTCTCATTCTTTGCAGTGTTAAAATATCGAAGAGCAGGGCTTCCCTTTTCTTGGGTCAGCACTGTTTTCTTTCCACTTTCCCTACTGTGGAGTCTGACAAAGTTAAGAGAGCTATACAGTACTACATGATATGTTCAGAAGTGCTAGGAAAGTGATATAAGTATTTCACTGATCTTTCCAGTGGAATCACCCAATGGAATCACTTATGGTTAATGTTGCCAAGGGATAGGAAAAATGTACAATGTATGGTGATACGCGTGTTCCAGTGTGTATATGCACACTCATAAATGCACACAACATGTAATAACCTTCCCCTGCTGCTGTTTGCTCTTTACCCTTGATCTTTCAGTAGCCCTGAGAGAAAAATGAATGTATTTTATCTTCAAAATAGGATGAGATAAAAAAGAGTTGTAGTAGGGCATAGTAAAATTCCTAACTTGAATGCCTGAAAGAGAAAGTGTTCGGCTTGAAGTGTACAGGTGGAAGAGATAACTTGCAATAATTTGAAGTGATTGTGAATGTGCCTGAAGTAACCTGTATCAACCTGGCTGAAAAGGCTCACTTCAGAGCTGCACTAGTTGGGCCCGACCTTTCCATTTTATGTATTTGTTTATTTGGTAGCAGAATATATACATCATTATAAACATTCTGAGCTTAGCAAAACTCAGAGAAGGGGTGGCTCTTATTGCAAGGCTGACACAGACAATCTGTTTGTTTTTTATACCAAGGCCTGAGCTTGCTTGCTATATGCATTTTGCATGAATTTTTACTTTGTGATGCAAAACAAATATTTTGTAACAATTCAGTAGCATGGTTTAGACAGGCCAGGTTTCATAAGGGGAGCCAAGTCACTGAAGCCTAGAAATACAGAACTGGTGGATGCCTGTGCTTGCATTAGACACTTGCTCATGTGCAGGTCAGTGCTCTGTCTGCAGGTACAGGGAGAAATAAACAGAACAATTTTGTGGGCAAATGTGCTGCAAATGTTTAAATTTGGAGAAAATATGCAGTCTATGCTTAAACCTTGAGCCGCTTTGCTTTATCTCTGTTATCCAACCTTAATTTTCTTTCAGACATCTGGTAAAAAACAAGCAAGCAAACTGTGGGTATGGCTTCAGTGACTTTCCTGGCATAAAAAGGCTTGTAAAATACAATAATACACCATTGTGCGAGTGAGGAGAAATATGACTTTTTTTAATCACTGATCATTTTATTGGGCTTGTTAATCGATTGCTAGACATAACGCCTCTTCCCTTTCTCTGTTACCTCTCCCCCTTTCACATTTATAGCGTGAATCTAGTAGGTTCACTGACAGTTTCAAGCCAGTGAAAGATGGTGGGCTTTGCTTTCTGAAGCTGGCTCAGGGACACTAGGGATAGTGGAGTTAAAAGTCCAGATGGTCTGGCCTCAATTTATTGGCAGACCTACTCTCTGTCAATAGCAACAGTATCTGCTTCAGTACAAAAGCACAATATTAAGGTACTGTTTTGTTATTTTATTTTTTTTTACCTGTTGTGGGAGAAGGTTGTTGCTCAACAGTGTAAACAAAGGTAGAGACCAGAGTGCTGTACAGCTAGCTCCACACAACCTTGTAGATTTACCCTTTTTTATTTTTCCTTTTTCCCAACTGTTTCCTTTCCCATTTAGCTTCTTCCTTCATCTGCTCCATATCTGAAGAATCTGTCCTCCTTACCTTTACCCACAAATGCACAGAAGATATTGGAGTGCTCAGCATGGAAGAAATGTGTTCAGAGTGGTGTTTTCTCAGGCTTGATGCTTTTTAACCATTTTAGATGTAGCACCATGAGTTAGGCGCAAAAAATATCTGGAACAGGGACTTCACATTCCCCTGGGGTTGATTGTTTTTTTTTTTTGAAGTTGATGGACAGGGTCAATACATCATTTTCTTTTGGTATGTTCTTTCTTGGTTACCTGAAAGAGGTTAATTTATCTCTGGAAGTATTACTGTGTACAGTCCTGGAGGGTGAGGTCTTCAGCACAGCTGAGCCAGTCTTGTGAAGGAGATGGCTAATGAAACAAACAGATGCTTCATCCCAAGTAAGTAGGCAGGAAGCTAGTTATAATTACAAGCCTCATGGCATGAGCTGACAGTTTTCAGGAAATACTACTGCCGTGTATTATGCCTTACTCTTGCATTTTTTTTTCTATTTCCCACAGCTTGTTAAATATACAACAGCTCTCCTTTCCTCCCCCTGCACTGTACCAATGAAGGAAGCTATATTTAGTCCTTGTCAAGTTACAGCAGCTTTTTTATAATCAAAAAGTAGAGAAAAAAAGGCCAGCAACAGAGTGAAGGCAAATATTTGTAGCATATCATAAGCCTTTCTTGTAACCTAAATATTTAGAAAGAAGGGGGATGTAGGAGGATGCTGTACTTTTTAAAACATGGAAAAGATAAGGAGCAGACTCCTTCCTAAGTGTGCTGACATGCTGGAGGATTCTTTTTGCTGCACCGTAAGAGAGCAAGAGGACTTCTTCCTTTTGTTTGCCAACTGGGGATGATTTAGAAAAGTCAATGTTTAACATTCAGTTAAAAGAAAAAATGTACTGCAAGTTCAAACAGCACATGGAGGACTGCATTTGAGAAGAACTGCCACTGCTATCTCCGGTAAAATAAACATGAATGTTATCCCAGTGGTTCTTGAGGCATCCCAAAAGCGCCAAATTTAGGAAGTATTGAAGTAGAAAAGCTTGCAGTGTGGACTGTGGAAGAAGTGAGTTGCACAGTCTGTTGCTGAAACTGTCCTTCAGTTGCCCCCATCTATGTCTGGTATATTTTGCGTTCCTTGACTGTTAATTTTTAAGTTGTTTTATTCATAAAAAAATGTATTTACTTTAATTTTTATCTTATTTTATCCCGTTTAATTCTTAGCTGCTTGCTAACTTTTTCTGTCATATCTTCTCTGTCACGGAAAATGGTGCTGTAGCTTAGGCCCCATCAGAGCTATTAAGCGGGATAATGAAAGCTTTTCTGTGTGGCATCACATGCAAATTCTGTGCTGCAATCTGTGAAACTCAAGACTTAGTTATCAGATACCCCAAGGGTTTCTGCTTTAATCTGTTTTCTAGGGACCTTCTCTTTTGGCTTCTGACATATCTCAGTGTTTCATTTCCTTTCTCAAAAATTTTTCCTTGTATTTTCAATAATTATCAATGCCTGACAATAAGTTGGTACACCAAATAGAATCTGACCTATGAAATACCATGTAGAAATGTAATTAATCGTGTGCAGCTTGTAAGGGAAAAGTGAATAAGTGTAGATGCTATCAAAATGTATTCATTCTAACGTAACGTTACTGACAGTTGTTCAAAGTCTGTGATATATTTAGATCATTAAACCAGCACTCGATCAGTGGAAACATATGCTCATATCTGCTTGGATCATAACCTGATTCTTAAAAACGTCTGAATTTGGTAGTACATCATTCTCATATGCCTAATTACTCTAAAAATTACCCTTGGTTTTGACTCTAATACCATTACTTCTTGACTTGGCTAAGAGTCTGACAGATGAATGCAGTGTTTCTGCTATCTGCTGCCATATTCATATTCTCATACACACTTTATTCTTTGCTTTGCAGATCAGGAAAAATGTGATGATGATGAGATGGAGCGACTTTACAAGTCATTAGAACAAGCAAGCTTGTCTCCCATCGGTGATCGTCGGCTGTCAACCAAGAAGGAGCTTAGGAAGTCATTTATCAAACGCAGCAAAAACCCTTCCATTAATGAGAAACTCCACAAAATTCGAATGCTGAACAGCACATTAAAGGTGAGGTCACAGAATGAGCCAAGGAAAAGCCTGAGAGAAAGAAAGAGTTTGGCTGAAAAAAAAGCAAGCCTAGACATCAGCCAAATTCTAATTACATGTTTATTTAAAGCCCCAGAGAGTTTGGTTAAGTTTTTGAAATTGTTTTCTACTTTATTCGGAATAGTGATCTGTGTTTTGTTGTTAAATTTGAACAGAGGCAATAGTTCAGAAGGGACCCTTCTTGCAAAAATTCCAGCCCGTTTGGAAAATTTAATAAAGAAAGTTCCTTTTAGTTAGCTGGGAAACCTGCAAACTCAGCTGAATACACTAAACAAGGGAGCCTTAAAAAAGGAAGAGCAGAAAAAGGACATCAATGATAAAGCACATGAAAACGACCCTGAGCCAAAAAAGTTTTCCTTATGTGATTATTGGGGAATGTACAGGATGTGCCAAAGCTATTGTAAAGACCTCCTGTAACTAAAATATTTTTAATAACAAAAGCATCCTGCTTTTATGTTGGAAGCATATCATGAACTGGAGGGGTGGAGGGGTTCAGGGGACATTCCATGAAAGGGCCAATAAATTTATCTGGAATATGGAGATTTATGAGGCTGTTTACCTGCCAGCATCGTTTTGAGTGTCATGGGATTTCAAAACCTGCTTCTGAATGGTACTGAGGCAAACAGAAATCTTAACCATAACATTGAAATTGTAAAGAGGATAAAGAACAAATCCAAACCTGGGTTTTCACTTGATTATTATTTTTTTTTCTTTCATTATGTTTATTGCCCAGAGAATTTGTGGATGATATTTGAGGTCCCTTTCAACCCAAGCCATTCTATGATTCTTTTTGTATGCATTAGAAGCAGGAATTGAGTATCATGTTTCAAGTATGTGTATTTGGCTTCAGGAATTGTACCCTGGAGAAATACATGTAAAAACTTCCATCAGCACATAGTTGATTTGATTATTAGTCGCAATGTGAGGGTTGGCTTTGGCGCCCTGGCCTGTCTTAAACTTCCTAAAGACACATTTGAAAAGACAAGTTGGAGCATAGGCATCCTGCCCGTTGCAGGGCTTCCAAGCTACATATGAGACCCAGTGAAGTCTCTCCTCAGTATTAATGAGTCTTCAGTGAAGTGGCACTTACTTCACTGTATTATTCTTCTGCATCAGTAATAAAGTGAGCCCATCATACAGCAGAAATTTAGTTTAAAAAGTATGCCAACTTTATGGCACAGGAAAATAAATGTGGAAGCATATTTTGATGTTTTTCCCTGATATGAGCCTCCCTAATAAATCTAAGAAGCAGTACAAAATGGAGCTGTATCTTCTGGGATAATCCGTTTTATTAGTCTGGAGCTGAATGCAAGCCTACAAGCCTTTCTGTCAGACATGAGCAAGGAGGACAACTTTGCATTGATTTAACCCAGGAGTATTGTATAAATTGTGATTAGCAGTGTTTATAATCTTAGGCTTGTCTAACACTTGTATTTAATATGGAAAAACCATTTTTGGAGTATTCATAATGCATAAAATGTGTTGATTTTTTTTTCCTTCTTCAAACCAAGGAATTGGAGAATTGACAAGACAAATATAGCACAGACATTTTCTCACAGACACGAACAGAGTTCCATGCACAGCAGTGTTTGAGTTAGCCTGTCTAAAAGGCAAATGCTTTCAGTGGGAATGTGCCATATTCTTTACATCAGTGAGATTATGTTCTTTTAAAGTCAACTTTTTTAACATAAAATTTGAGACATGAAACAAGTGGAAATATCAAAATCAGAAAAGTTTTGCATCTGATCAATATTTACTCTGCTTTAGTTAAAACCCTCTTAGTTTTGAAGCAAATGATTTATGCAAGCTTCAGTGTAATTTTAATTTTGGCCTTTTGACTCCACATCTTTAACAACAGATTAATGTTCCTGCCATAATATATCATTAACAAAACATGCTTAGGATTGTTTGGAAGAGAGTGAAGCTGTGTGCAAATGCATCACAGGCTTAATGAATGTGGGAAATAGATTTAAAGCAGAAGAAAAAATGCACAACATGGCATTTTGCCACCAAGTCTATGCATTGCAAATGCTTCCCTCTCCCTTCTACTTCCCTATCTCCTCTTCTGCTCTTAGGCTATCAGTGTGTTTCTGCATTTATGCCAAAAGCCCTCTTACAAGGATTAATCTTGAGGGTTAACAAGTGTTTTTTTTTTTTTTTTTTTTTTTTTTTTTCTGTTTGAAAAGTGGTTCAGGCATCACAGGGGTTAGAGTAGTTGAGGGTTGATTAGGGTAGCAGTGGGATATGGATATGAGGGCAGCCTATTGCTACTGCCAGGAAGTGTTGTGGATGTGCGAGTGTTCTCACAGTGTTTTGAAGGCAGCCAGTAGCACTAAGTGTTCTCAGGTGTGATGAAATTGGTGGCAGTACAGAGGATGGCAAGAGCAACCACATTGCTGTCACACAGAGACCTGGGGGGACAGAGCCATGCAAAAAGAAGTAAAGGTTTGTTAGTGCAGCATGGTGCCTCCATTAAGAAATTATAGTTGCTAACTGGAGCTTCTCTATCCTGTGATCCACTATATGAATTGGCAATAAGAGCTAGAACAGCAAAAAGATGGATTGCCTTAGAAAATGTGAGGACATGACTAAATACCTGAGAGGAGCATGCAAAGAGGATGGAGCAAGGCTCTTTTGAAAGGTGCCCAATGACAGAATAAAATGCAATAGGCACAAACTGAAGCATAGGAGGTTCTGTGCAAACACCAGGAAACACTTCTTTGTTATGTGGGTGACTGAGCAATGGCACCAAAGAGGTGGTGGCGGGATCTCCCTCCTTAGAGTAGTTCAAAAGCTGCCTGGATGTGGTCCTAAGCAACTTCTGTAGATGGTCTTGCTTGAGCCAGGGGGGTTGGACCAGATGACCTCCAGAGATCCCTTCCAACCGCACCCATTTTGTGACCTCAAGGTTCTCATTTTCTCTATATCATGACATGACTGTTCCTGTCTTACAATTGAACCAGGGTCCCTGCAATATACAATCTGAGCTGCTCTTGTCTAATAGTAGAGACCAGATTTGTTAACAGTATCTGGTGGTAGATGTATTAACACCCACATATGATCTAACTACCCATGAGCTATACTGCTGGTGCATAGATTTCATCCAAAAGTATTTCCTGTCTTGCTCCCAGAGAACAGGAATTTATAATTGTGCTCAGGAGGGCAAGTATTTTTTTTTTTTCAGAAAGTTAGGATTTGCCATCATCATGTCTAGTATCATGCAGCTACTAACTTGTGAGGCAGCATAACTCATGTCTAATTTTCATGACTTCTCATTCATAAAATTTTACTAAGTATCTTATAAAAAACTACATGAAATCATAATCTTGCCTTCAACTGGGAGGAATTTCTGCTGTGGACTTAATTTTGATAATCTTGGTTATAAAAATAGGAACAAATTGCCAGGAGGATGGTTAATTGGTCATCTCCTTGTGCCCTAGTTCTGCAAAGTTCCCAGAATGTTATTGTTATGGACAATGACCTTGACTGTGTCTGTAGGAAATAACCACTTACTCTCTTCCTAGTGTAAAGAACATGACCTGGCCACAATTAACCAGTTGTTAGAGGACCCAAAGTTGACAGCAATGAAGTACAGAGAATGGAGGAACACAAACATCATGCTGGTCCAAGATATCTATCAGCAACAGGAGGTCCAGGATGTGTCCACAGAGAATAGTGAGGAACAAGAGACAACACCATTGGCTATCACTGAAAGTGCTATCTGAGGCTGTGTATCAACAGCTCAATGCAAGATTTTTTCCCCACAGGTCTTCATGTAAAGACACTGTTGGGTTCTGATTTTTTTTTTCCGGAGTGTTCTTCATAAGGAAAACAACCCCTTCTCCAAAGCTTTAACTCCTTTTGCAAAGCTTATTTCATGTCAAAAGAACAAATCCTTCAAATTAAAACAGCATGCTGGAATCTGGGCTGCATATCTAAGAAGAATATTTTATGAAGCATTGAAGAAATGTTTTTCCATATTGGGAGAAGTAAATTGTATATGTGCAACTTCTGGATGTCACAGTGCTATATAATATGAACTGTATAAACGTCAGATCCTTGCTGTTGTTTTAATCATGTAACTTGGTTGTAAAGGAAGCTACAACAATTCCAAAAGGATGTAGTTTACTCTCACTTTTTGACCATGCAAGGTAACCTGATATATATATTTTCATTTCTACGTTCATTCACTTTGACATCTCTACCAGTTGGAACTGAGACAAATCGAGTAGCAATTATGTATGAATTTATACTACAGACCATTGTCAGGAACCCAGTTTGTGTCATACCTGATGTTTTATGAATTAGACATTTATTTACAGACCAGACCAAGGTACTGTCATTCTATATCAAAAACAGAAGGTCTCTCAATATGTTTGGTAAAATGTAAATTGCTCTTCAGTGAGGCAAATAATGTCTCAACAAGTTTCAAGCTTTTCTTATGGACTTAACAGAACTTCCTGGAAGGCTATTTTCTTCTTTCAATTTTTGAACAATCATGAATATATAAGGTACAAGTTCACCCCAAACTCCTAGATAGCAAGGTGATCAAGTTTGCAAGGAAGAAGCTAAATACTTAAATTCCTGATGTGGAAGTGAAAGTGTAAAGCATAGTTGCAAATATTTTTGTAAATATATGTCATTTTATGGCTTATATGAAAGTGTTTATGTAATGTATATATGTTTTATTTATATATTTATATATGCTGAATTTCCTAATGTAGATAGAAGCACATGGACCAGACCCACTTATGTGAGTGTACTTACACAGTGACTTGAAATACTTCTCTGTTCTTTTTTTCCATTATGAATCACAGTAATGGATCTAGAATGGAGAGTACCCTGGGACTTCTGCTGTAACTTCTTCTGTTGTTCAACCTAACTTTGGGATTTTGATGAAGAAAATCTGTGTAATTTAGGGCAGGAATATAAGTTTGCTATAAAACTTTGGAATTTCTCTTTGGACAAACAAAAATGAATATATTAAGAGATTTTGCTACAGGATCATTACATTTTAGCATCACTCTTCTCAGTACAGTTTTTTTTTTTCTTTTTTTTTTCTTCCCATCTTCAGCATGTGTGCAAGTATGAGGATCTTTGCAGAGTGCCAATTTCTGAAAAGCAGAAATTAACCCACCATTCTCCAATTAATGCCACTACAAGTACTGGGGAAATCTGCACTTCTGTTGGCTATTTTGTGAAGATATTGTGATTGGTATTCAACAGATTTTATCTTTTAAAGTAAAATACACTATACAGATGCAGCCATATTCGCTTGTCTTTATACATGATATGTTTTATTGTATCGAAAGCAAATATTAATAGTATTATTGGTAATGTGAAATCTTTGTCACCTGCCAAGTGATATATCTGATTGTTGAGATGGCATTGTTGACATTCAACAACTTTCCTTTGCTACAGGTATCACTGGGGAAAGGTCAGGGAAATGTGGGCTTGTTGAATGCAGAAGCAGGACTGCACTCAGGATAGCGTCACTGCCTCAGGTATAAAAGGATTTAGACTTAATAATTGGAGCTGGTCTGCTGGTGGGGAACAGAAGTTAGATAAAACTTAGAAGTGAGTGACAGTAACTAAATGGGGAAGCAGACATAAAAAGCAAGGTGGTTAAAGAGCTAACATTTCCAGGAAATCTTCATACAAGTGGTGCTTTTATCGTTTCATTAATTCTAACTGGACATTGATAGAAATTAAGCAAGCTCAACACGTGGTGTTAATTGGTTGCTAGTAATTCCTCATAAAAACATGAGCCCATTTTAAAGTCTTTTATCTTTGACTATTCTCAGAAGACCCTCTTGACAGTGGGCATCTGCAAGTACCGTGTTCCTGAATGTAATTTTTCAAAGGTGAGAGAGGGATACCCCTTGAATTTGACATGATCACTTATCTGCTGAGCAAACACTGAAAATTAGGCAAGTGAGGACTGATCTGCATAGTCCTTCTCAATTTTAACTACCTGCTGCTAAATAATTGATAAATAATGGAGGTCAAGTTGCTTGTACACTTCAGATTTTTTCTTGCAAGTGCGGGCCCCGCAGTTTGTCATGTAAATTCCATTTCTCTTCAAAAACATCTTCACTACTCTAGATCTTAAAAACAAGCACATGCTTAAGAGTTCTGTTGAACTGAGCCAGACTAGTCAGTGCCTTGCAGTTCTGAGCAAAATCCCAGCCAGCCAACTCCATTTGCTGCAGTAGATTTGCACCCCAGAAAGGAGAGCACTTTGCAGCCTGTATAGACTGTCAGCTTTTTTTTTTCTTTTTTTTTTTTTTTTTCTTTTTTAACTGTGCTTGTATCAAGATATACAAAACTGGTTTCCCAAATGCATAGACAGACAAATGTCCCCAGCCTGCCTGAACTCTACTATTTGTTTTGATGCAATTAAATAGCCTAAAATAACTTTTAAGGTACTTTCTTTTCAGATGGTCGGTAGGTAATTGCTGTTGCTATTGAGCTTTTGGAATCCAGTTGAGGATGTATTGTATCACCCTCTTAGAGCAGAAAATTATTGAACAGGGTTCTTTTAATTGAGTTATTTCTTCAGAAATTTCCTTTCTGTTCAATAAAAATGTATTGGTTTTATGGAAGTGCAATGTTGGTAGGCTATCCCCATTCTCTTCAGCTACTTTTTAGACCAAAAACAAATGGAAAGCATGGGAAACGTAAAGTGAAAATGGTAGTAAAATAGGATTAGTTTTCCAACATTGCTAATTAATGTCACAGTTTTCACCTGGACTTATCACAAAGGGCTGTACAGCCATGTGAAAGACACAACCGGAGAAGAACAGTGCGCAATCTGACAGCCACAACTGATAAATGATATTGGAGGGAGCCATGTCAGCAGGAGAAGCTCAGACTACTGTGTGCTCTGCTCAGTCATATATAGGGTAAATGGTATTTGAGCATAAATTCTGTTGGTCTGAATTTGGAAGGCTTCCATTATTGACTCGTAGTGTAGGGGAATTGTGTCCCTTGGAATGACCAAAAATCTTTAACAGCCTGCCTCATGGGACTTCTTTTGTACTTTTCAGGAGAAAGTGTGCATGCACACAGCTATTCCTCTATCAGTAAAACCTTTTTGCATTAGTGCAATAAGTCTAGCTATGCAGACTTTGGAGTAACTAATTATGATATCTAATTTCAGCTGTTTCTGCAGCCTGTCTCTGGTGACTTTTCTGGAAATCAAATCTCTCTCTGTTTTGGTGGTGTAGATCTCATAAGCTACCAGCATGAGATGGGATCACATTTTCTTTTCCTAAGATGGGAGAGGTTTCATGCTGGGTTAGCAAATTGTTTCTGCATGCAGTTCTGATAATTTACTTAATCCCGAGTTTCACTGAAAACAGGAATAAATGATGTGATACAACCACGTTTTACAGATTATTCTCTTTTTGAAGGAAAACTTCTTATGGGAAAAAAAAAGCTCTTTTAGGACAGCAGGGAGAGGGGGAGGGGAAGAAAAAATGTGATGTTTGATTTAAAACTATGTAGAGTTTTGGAGTTTAAAGTTATTGTGTAACTAGAAAAAATTATGGGCATGCTGTATCTAATAGGGAAGACCATGAACTTACATGTCTATTACTGATTTAATATAAAAATGTTATTTTGTGTCTCTTAAAGTAACAAGGAAGTCCATGTAAGCAAAATTTTATATGAAGAAATTCTTATGCTGTGGTGGAAGTTTGGGTTTGGGGATTTTTTATTTTTATTTTTTTACTGTTTTGGTGGTACAGGAGTGACCAATTGCAATGAGAGCTTGGGCTTGCTTCATTTATGTGAGAAATGTCTTTCTGTTAACAGGAAACCAAAGTGGTTTTCTTGTAGTAATAGACACAAAGTTTTCCTGTTTCCTGTTTTGTGTGGGACATTTTGAAGCAGCAGACATTTTAAGATGTCATTCAGCAGTTACTTGCACACTTGAAAATTTATCCCATTTTGTTCTTCTCCAAGCTGCCACATTTCTGCATTTTCAAGAATCAACTTCTCTACTAACTGAAACAAAAATTGAGGTAAAAAGAAACAAAACCAAAATGCTCTGAGATATGATCAGTCTGAAATTTTTCTCTGTGCATAAGAGTAACAGCAGCTAAGCTTGTCAAAAGTTCGACATTTCAAAACTGAAGAAAAAAATAAAAATTGTCAGGTGTTGAGGAGAGTATTATATTTCTTGAAATTTGCTACGGGTGATGATCCAAAATCTTTCTGTTCTGGAAAAATAATTATTTTTCTATTTTATTTCTTCCTGGTAAAAATCTAAAGGTAGTGGCTTATAAGCTGGCATAAAGTTAAAAATGAAATATGCGTATAATTCCTTGATAGTTCATCAGCCGTGATGCATTAACATGAAATGTTGGCTTTAGATGGCTGACCGACAATGCTGAAAATCAATTTCCTTGGGAAACTATTCTAGTTACCACAATCTTTTATACCCCACCTGGCCCATATGAGATCCATTTTGAGGATGTAGATATAAGGCATTTCTATAGGGAAAATATATCATTACACCATAGCTTAGGAATCACATGAGTTCTAGTGCTCACTGGGTCCTTGATGCCTTGAGACCTAAATACATTATTCTGGCTCTCGAACTTGCATATGATTGCTTTACCTTCTCCCACCTAAAAATAAATAAAAGAGAATACAAAAACATCAACTCTCATATAAAGACAAACGCTAATCAAGCAAAGATTTGGGTACTTTGTTCCTGAGTGCTTAGCATAATAACTCACCTGATGAAATGCCATATGTGCATAATAATAGCAGTGTTCTTGTGTAAAACTTTCAATGGTAAGGACTGACTGAAGAGAGCATTGGGGATTTATATTGCATTAGGCTCTGTGTAGACTGAGAAAGGTGTGCCTAGAGGAGTATTTCCTAGGATATCTGCTACGGAGGGGCAGGACCTGCAGCATCATGAAGATATACATAGTACCAGTTTGGTATTCTAGCTGCTAAATCTATTTTATCACTGGTTGCATACTTAAAGCACAGTGTTTGCACTCAGCGCTGCCTTTTCACTGCTTGTTGCCCACACGTGTGACTCAATTTTAATGGAATGATGCACACATCATGGAGAACCAGAACCTTATGTTTGCACTTGTCAATTAAAAGCTGAAATGCAGGAGCATTTTGCTCAGCCTTTTAAAATTTTCACTGCTTTATTTATTTATTTATTTATTTTTAGTTTGCTGGTATACAATAAAATAGGAACTGTTGGTTCTTAAAAACAAATTCTCATTGGGACTATTATTAATAATTGAGTAATCTGGAACCAGGAAGAGCCAATGAGTGGATTGACTGAGGAGTGCTTTCCACTGTCTGGCAATGCAGTTTTTGAAGCCCTGCTGCTAAATTACTTAATTCTCTTTCATTGGTTCCTGTAGCCACCTTTAAGGAAGGATACCCTGTGCTTTATGGTCTCTTTCAAGACATGTGGGATACTGCTTGGATTTTTCAACTCTCAGAGAATTCAGCTTCAATTAAAAGAGGACTGGGGTCTTTGTCAGGAGTTTCAGTTTATCTGGCCAAGCCAGGCAGCCAGAAGCACCTTAGAGGTGTGTTTCCTAAGAAGTGAGCTTATCTGAGGGCTCAGCTGCCCTGAAAGATGTGTCCCTGTCCCTCTCTGTTCCCTCAACCTCCTACATGTTCCTACTGCTTGTCTCATAGTATTCTGCTCATCGCTTGGCACCTCTGTCAGCTAAGTGGAGCCAGCCAGCAAGAAACAGATCTAGCAAGCTGGATAATTATCTACACTGATGGTGAATAAAATTGGCTTGTGGAGAGATTTGGTGCCTGCCAGAGCCATCACAAGAAAGGCAGCTGGTTTGTGTGGGCAAGAGCATAAAAAAGAGGGTGCTGCATATGTGGGAGGAAAGAGGGGGACCTCCTGTGTTTAGGAGAAGGGCATTAGATTGATGTAACCTCCCACAAAGCTGTAGCATCACTTTCACCAAATGGTGCTTTCATTTTATCCTGCAACACATGCTTGTGAAGACAACTCGACGGACAAGTTTTCATGTCTGGTTTGATGTGATCTCAGACTGTTTTTGCTTTCCCTGTTTCATGCAGAGCCAAATCTTACTGCTTCCTCCTTTGGTCTTAAAGATAAAATCCTGCAAAAACCCTACAAAAAACAACACTATACTTCTCTAGTATCCTTCCTTGCATGCTTTCTGCAGGTATGCTGGTGTAGACATATGAGAGAAAGTAGTTTGGAGTGGTGAACCAGTTTACACTAGGTCCACCTTACGGG